TTTTTTTTTTTTTTTTTTTTTTTTTTTTTTTTTTTTTTACTTAAAATCTCTTTATTGTTTATTGCTTATAAACATCTCAGTTTGCAGTGTCAGGGATTTGGAACTAGCTGCACGGATCTCTATGCAATACATGTGTGTGTGCATCTGTCTGTCAGTTCTCATACACTGCTGAGTCTCTCATCTTTTTCAGATTTGCTGATTCAATTGAATGTGAATGACTGTGGGATAGAAATCTCACAACTATGTTCCATAAAAATTACATTAAAATCAAGAGACATGCATCTGGGAAGGGGGTTCGACTGCTGTTCCCATTAAGGCAATGGTTTCAGTATGAGACCACTCCTAATTAGACAGCACAAAATCCAACACAAGAATGCCCAGACCCATGAAGGGAGACATAATTTGAGGTATGCTTTATATTAGATACTGTAAGACAGATTCACAGGAAATGAGCTTCATTACCTCCTCTGGTCACACAGTGAACATGTTTTTGCTTGCAACATTTATTCCATTACTGTGCTAGGGATGGGTGTTAGATACAGGGATGGTAAGTGCCAGGAACATTCTTTCTGTTTTTGAAGATCAGTAATAGATCTGCTTTTCTTCAGAGTACTACACTACCTCTGCTTTTAATCACTAACAGCCCAAACTTAGCTGCTACTGACTAATACTCTTAGATGTTCATTGTCCTTACTGATATGGTGTACACATTGAGATTTTTTAATTTTTTTTTTTTTTTCATACAAGGAATACTTTTTGTATGGTATTGTAGATGTTGAAACAAGGAGATATTGCTTCAGTCTGTGATGTAGGGAAAAATATTTTCTGTGTCAGTGCTTTCTTCATGGGCATGACAGGGTTAATGCTGTTCCTCCTCCCCAGAAAATTGTGTGCAAGAATTAACTCACTAATAATTTACAGAAATTTCGGCAAAGATATCCTATAGCTTTTTTAGTATTTTTCATATTTGTAGCCCTAGAGACTTGTTAGGGTAGCAAATGTCTCCTCAACATCAAGTTAAATCTGCCTGTGAACTCTAAGTGAAATTTTTCACTTGAAGCAGCAATAGTTTTAGAGTGCTACCTGCTTCAGGACTGCATCTGTCAGGGTTTGTCTTGGCTTCTGCTCTCCCTAGACCCTTAGTTTTCAGAATCCTGAGTGGTAAGGTCTGTCTCCTATGTTTTGGATGTGCTGAAAGCTTCCCAGCCCTTCCTTTGTGTGGTCAGGCTCTGCTCTCCCAGCTGTCCTCTCTGTTTGCACAGAAGCTTCTCCTGGTTTCCTGTCCTATCCCCACGGAGTTCACAGCAGGGCAGTATACTTTGTAGCTGAATCCAGAAGCCGTGGTCCTTGTCAGCTTCCAGTCTCCCCATCCGTGCCTGAAAGACAGCCAGAATCTCAGCACAATGTGGAGACAAAGGCATTTTCAGAAGTCTGTAACCCCCAAGAAGAATATCCATGACCTTTAAGCAGGTTTCAACACAGTTTTTGCTGATCAAGCTTTGTTAGAGCATCCATGCTTGCTGTTTATTCAGAGTCATGGATCTCCTTGCCACTGCATATTAACACAGGCAAAGGGTATGACTGTATGCATTGTGAACTCCAGGATCTTCGTGTTGACAAGAAAAAGAACTTCCAGGAAAAATGCATAATATCAAAAGAACTTGTAGGAAAGATGGATAATATAATTTCACAGTGAAATGTCACTGCTGAATAAGAAGTGGGTGCAGGGATTTGAGGGTCTCCATCCCAACCCTAAAATGTGTCGGGGACTGAGATGCAAGAGACTAAGTTCCAAGTTCCATTTTAGTTTGTTTTTCTGGGGAGATGTGGGGTGTGGCTGCTATTTTCCAGACTTCTGCACTTGTACTAGCTTCCGTATTGAGAATCTGGAAGCTGCAATCAAGGTAGAACTTCAGGGAAGGGAGAGGTTAAGAAGGATTGGGAGCCCAAGGGCATCCTGTCAGTGAGCTCTAGTTAGGAAACAGGCCTGTTTTGGCTCCTGCACTTCCTTCTCTCCCTAGAGCCCTGCCTGTCAGAAACGCCTTCCCACACAGCACTGCTCTGCCATTTGCCAGAGAATTGCGGGGGAGAGGGGCTTTTCCTGTCTGTGTGCTGAGACTCAGCCAGCTCTCAGACTGTGGTTTTCTCTGGAGCCTGGAGCCCGTTTGCTGTGGCTTTGTGTATTTTCCACCCAAGGAGAAACTGAGGACAAACTCAGTGAAGGCCACTGCTCCCAGGGCCACATGGAGGGCTCAGCTCTTCCCCTTATCACTGACCTCTAGATGCCAAATTACGAAGTTATGGTATTGCCTCTGTTCTGGGAATCTGACTGACTTCGAGGAAAGACAAAGCAGAACTCCCAGCAGGTTGCTCCTTTCTGAAGAGAGTTTAGTGGTCTGCAGAGCTCCCATAGAGGAAATGTTCTCCAGTCCCTGCTTTGCCAGGCCACTGCTCAGATCTCCAGTGTCCATAACATACAGATCCTTTTGTTCCCTGTGTCACATCTCCAACATATTTACTCTCCTACATACTATAGGAATAGAAATATTTTCTGTTCCCTGATATTACTGGGGATTTCCTTTTTGTCAGTGGTGGAGTTAAAGTTCCTTTTTCAGAAGAAGGTACCCTAGAGCTTTTCTGTTATTCCAAGCACCTACACAGTTAGACCTAATAGTAGCATTCTATCATCTTCCCCATAACCTTTCTCTCTCTTAGAACTGTGTCTCAATCCTACCTCCCACATAAAGAATAATTTATCAAGTGATGCAGAAAGTCAATGTAATTAAATCTTTACTTCTTTGTGGATGGATGCTCGCTTCAAGATTAAATTAAGGAATTGGCCTCTTGTTTTTTAATCAGGAATAGTAGAATTCTGTGGCATAATGAAGTTGTCTGCCTTCCTAGAAGCTAGTCCTGGTTTCCAGGGGCATAAAATTCACTGTCTTAACAACTTAACTCTTTATGTGTGGGACTTTCTGTGGAGCCCTGGGGTTGCCTTCACCAGGCAGATATTATCCCTCACAAAAATCACCCACCTCCATCAGTGTTCTCAGCAATATTCACAGAGGTAATCACCAATTACTATGGGATGTTTTTCTTTTTTCACCCAGGCTGTTTTTGCCAACTATTCACAATCCAGCACCAGTCATATATCTGTGCCAGCTGGCTCTGATGCCCGCAAGACATCAAATGCCACTTCTAGTATCCAGAAGGCAGCCAGTTTGGACAAAGTGATGCCATCCCAGAGTACAGCTCCTCAGTTGGCTCCAAAGCCTCCAACAAACCACAGACAGGCAGTGATCAGAAAGGCTGCAGCCCAGAGGACATCCAAGTAAGTTTTACCTCTTCCATCCACAACTGGGAATTGGCACTGGTTCCCCTGAAGGTGAATATTGGAGAAGAAACTGTCTGCATCTGACTGTGACAGATCTTTTTGGCTGTGCTGTCCAGGATAAATCTCAGAATAATGTGAGGCGTACATACTGAAATAAACATTGCACTGTGCTGCAGTTGTGTGTTTCATAAGGATATGGAAGGTAACTGTAACAGCATGCAAAGGTAAGGACATAGGAACTGTCAAATTGATTCTAGAGTGGGATTCGGTAACATAAGTACTGGTGCTAGTGGCATTTTGGATGCCCAGGGCTATTCCACCTGACTTCCAGCTGCTCTTCCAGATGAGCACAGGTCTTTTGTAGTTCTTGTGTTGTATCTGTCAGTCTCATGCAGATGTCTCAAATATTTGAGAGCACCAATTAAGGTACATCTATGTTTAGGCACTTAAGTCACTCCCTCTGTCTAATCTTTGATGGGGGCTAGAATCTAGAAAAGGCTGCCAAAAAAAAAAAACCAACATCCCAAAAAAACCAAAACAAAGCAACAAAGCTATTCAATACCTTTAACAAGATAATCTGCCCCTGAGCCAAGTTTTCCCATAAATTTAACACACCATGTCGGATTGAGGCCTTCAAGCACAAGTGTTTATTTCATGTGAAATGCTTATATTGTGCCTGATGTAATGATAGCTTTTCTCATTAAATGTAGAAATCCTTCTTATAACTTTTAGTAAGCTTTTAGTTAAATAATGCTTACTATTCTAAGGTAAGTGGATGGATTTGACAGTTTTCTTTAAAAACAAATGCTGTCTTTAGAAATAAACAAAAATATTTACCATGAAATTTTGCTTACTCATTATAAGTTTCCTTCCTTTCCATTTCTTGGTATGTTTTCTCTTTTCTGCATTATGAGAAAATGTGAGCAAGACTTCTGGATTTTCAGCTTCCTCAGCTCTCTGTTTATCTCCTCTTAAATGGCAGAATTGCTTTAGTCTAAACCCTTCATCAGGTTTTTCCTCATATATCCTCAGACTTGTTTCATCCTGAAAAATTGATTTCATAACTTCCTTCCTTTTGCTTACTCTACAGCCAGAAGAGTTGTAAAGCTTTCAGAGCAAGCTCCTGTGAAATTTCCTGATTCTGTTTTCACTTCCTGTTTAAAGAGAGAAGTTTCAGCTTTAGGTTACTGATGAAAGACACCTCATGAAGATGTAGTCACTGTGTGTGAATCAAATCTGGAGCTGCAAGGCATATTTAAGGAACTTGGACAGAACTGCTTTGGGGAAGTTTGTGTATTTGCTGCCTGTACTCTTGCTATCTTAAGAGACAGCACACAGAGTTAATCCCCCAAAACTATTTAGAAAGAAAACAAGATGTTAGTAAATTTTGTCAGCTCAGCAAATGCAGATGTGAGCACCAGGTCTGGCAGGTATGCTCTGGTGGCTTTGTTATCTGATTTCTTTCATGTTGGGTGGCTCTTGTTAGTACAGGTGACAGGCTGTGTCAGTGGGTTTCTCTGCTGGGCAGCGGGGATGTGTATTTGAAGATGCCGGTGTGCTGTGCTCACTTCTTGGCAAAGGAAATGTTTATCCTGGTGAGATGGAATTGCAGCTCCTTGGACAGACTTTACTTTGCTGCATTTTTGTGGTTTCTGCTCTGTGACAGGCAGGAGTGTGGGAAAACCGGAAAAAGTTCAGCACCAAAAATGCACAGAAGGGGGAAAAAAAGCAAAAGATTCCTTCAGAATTTCAGAAAACTAATCCAAGTATTGAAGGCTGCAAGGAGCCGCTCCGGAAATATTTTCCAAGTTGCCTTTCAGTCTCCAGCACAAGGCTCCAAACCCATTCTTGCCATTCATGGGATCTTGCAGTAATATTTTTTCACTTACATGGAAAACAACAGTGCCTAGCTGTATTTCCAGCACGCTGAGAGCTGATAGTTTAAAAACTGCTATGTCTCAGACTAATTTAATCCATTCATTGTTGTCAGGAAAAGGCCAAATACACATCTGCAGAGGAGAGTGAATGGAGAAAAGCCTCTGTGTAAAAGGAACATGGACTAAAGGAGAAAAAGATGTCTTCCATGCTTCAGCCTATTTTCTACAGTCCCTGATAATTTGGACAGAGTATTTTTGGACATGTTGTGTAGTCTGCTTTCAAAAAAGTCCAGTGGTAGACGCTCTACTATGTGCTATAAAAATCCTTTTAAGAATCTAGACAACTTTGTAATCGCCTAGTTTCTCCTGATGTGCTGATTTTTTTCTGAATTTTTCTTTTGTTTCAGCCTATTGTACCTTGTTCCTCCTTCCTGAACCCTAAACACTTTCTCATGTAAATACTTTCCATCTTTTGAATATTCTTCTACTTCTTGGAGTAACCTAATTTTGCTTAGACTTGTTGAGGTTTTGTTAACCTCAGATAGCAGTTCTACCTGCCAAGTCCTTAATTGTCTCCAATTGACTGTATTTTATTCCGTTTGTCAGAATGCTTGGAGTATGGCACCCAAAATTGTACTTTTCTGGTGAGACTACCATGTCCATATCTTATGACATGGCAAATATCCCTCTCCATAACATCTTTCGACTGCTTCATTTGCCTATCAGGTCACATTTTGATTTGCTACCTTCTCTCACTCTAATACTTCTTGGCAGTTTTTCTGATATCTTTCCTCAAAGGGGATCTCAGGGCTATGTATTATTTATGCAAGACTCACTGAAACAAATCCCATTCTGTTGTTAAAGCTCTCATGTCTCTTTCTCCCCCCATGTATTTCAGTAAGCCAGACCTTATTTCTGTTTGCTCTTTCACTACCTTGCTTTTGTTTCACATGTTAATAAAGATCATCTTTTTCAAGTTGTTTCTAGAATTTCTCCAGAGAGAGGACTGTGATGACAAAACTAAAATCAGCTTTGTCTCTTTGAGGGTATCTCCTCCTTGCATGCGTTATCAATTCTCTCCAGCCAGCACATGTGGCTTCCAGAAAAGGGAGAAACAAGTAGAAAACTCAACTACAAACAGAATGAGATGCTAAGGATGAACATTACTGACTAATTAAAAAACTGTCTAGTAACTTGGACACTTTCCTGGTTGAAGCATAAAGGAATAAAGTAATGGAACAGCCAGACAATTCAGTCTTGTCTTTTCAGTTCCTGGCTTCTCTTGTTTTTGTAAAAGGTGGTAGGTTGACTTTATAATGGATTGTGTCCAAAGCAGACTCCTTGCTTAAACTAACAGAGTGGAAAACTGGGGCCCATATTAAGGTGTGGAAAAAGACTAACTGGTAGAAATGGTTTAGTATGGTTCAGCTCTATGCTGAAATATTGTGCCATAAATGGTCTCACAGGGCTCCACACTTTTGATCAAATATGCTTGTATCACTAATAGATAGTTCTTGAACATCTACTACAACAAGCTCTTTTTTCTTTCTCAGAGTCAAACTGGGTCTTTCCCACTGCTCATGTTGCCACTGCTATTGACAGGTCTGCGAACCATGAAGAGACCTGCTGATATTTTCAGATAGGGATCACAGATACAGTATTTATAAGCAGTGGAATGAAGCAGATGTTCCCTGGAAGCGGTATTTGGTGTATAGAATCTTCACATTACAGATGACAGCATGCAAAGTAGAAAAATACATTAGCTCAACTGTTCACAAGAGTGAACTGGTGGTAGATGAAAAATCTTTCTGCTTTTAGGAATACTAAGTCATAATAAATACTCATTTCTGTGCTATCATTCACATAGTAACTTCTCAGTAACCTCTCTGTGACAGGAGAGAAGTAAGGCTTTGAACAATCTGTGAACAGAACCATCAGTCAAAGAAAACATCTCAGAAAAATTGATCTGTTAATATTAAACCACTGTATATAAGGAGAGGAAACGCTAGGTAGGGAAAATGAGCCTATTGTTCAAGATGTTATCAGTGAGAGATAAGATCACCAAGTTTACCAGCAGTAGACTGGAACATTACAAACTCTTGGGGATATTGATCAGCATGGCATAATTTCTTGTACTGAGCATCTCTGTAAATGTTATAACAACTCTATTCAGTAAGCCTTGCAAAATAAATATTCCTTTCAAGTCCCACCACTACAGAAGAAAAATCTTTATACAGTATTCTCTTTTGTTTTACACGGTCCCAGGAGTAGAAGAGCCACAGTTCTTCTCTATTTTAACTAGTACAGAAATAGGGTAGAGGGGATCCATTTCTCTAGGCTTCAGGAAATCTATCCCAGAGCGGGGAGGAGTTCTGACTGCAGTTGGACACAGAAGCAGCCAGCATCCACTGGCCAAGCCTAGCAAATGTGCCAAAAGCAGATGATGATGATCACAGAGCAAGGCCCTGTAAAACACTCTGGCTGTGTTTTGTATCCTGTCTTGCCCATGTGTGAAGTGTCTTTAGTGAACCAGGTACATCACACACAGAAAGAGAGTGTCCACTGATAAGAGGACAGGCAGTAGAACACACATCTAACAGTTACTGGAACCCCTTTAAATGTTTTGCTACTGCTGTACTGCAGCACGCTTATTTTTTCAGCTCCTGAATATCTGGGTTATTCAGGCTGCTTGACCCTTAGACATTTTTGGCAGTAAAAGCAGTGTATCTGAGAGACATGCCTTGATTTAACACCCTGACACAGCTGGGCTCACTAGACCTGTAGTTTGTAGCCCTTGGCTAGCCTCAGATCATACACACAGATACACATGCAGGGGTACCCCATCCAAGAACCACAAAGAGGAACAAGCTTCCTGCCTCTGGGTCTTTACATTTTTTGCTGTCCTTTTGTCAAACCTGGGCTTTTGTGATGTGAATATGTTAGTGTCAGATCTGTCTGGTTCCACTGGACCTTTAGATGCATCTGTAGCATCCCAGAAATACATTGTTAAAACAAAGGTATTCAAAATTTAGTCAAAAAGTATTTGTCTCTCATCTGTAGAACAGTATTTGCTGTCCAAGGCTGGGCAGCTGAATGCTAGTGTAGTACCTAAATTAAGGAAGCCAGTATCAGTTTTGAGGAAGAGTTAGCCATATAGGAGATAGAAAAGAGCAATGACAGATATTTAAATGGAAGGGACAGCTGGGACTATTTTTGTTAGTATTGAATAAGAAATAGTGAACATAACAGCGAACTGAAAAAGTGGAACATACCACTGGAGAAATGGAAGTAAAAACAACAGATACATTGACAGTAGGAAAGGGAGAAAAAACAATAGGATTTCAGCTAATCCAAGGAGGAAGAAAATGGAAAGGGATTACCTCAGTTTAAACAGTGAATATGTTCTGGCACTGAAGCTTTCATCAGGACAGCACAGAGAGTATGAGGAAGTGATCTTAGCATGGTGGGAGATGCCAGGAGGTGAGCTGAGAATGAGCTCTCAGAATGAGGTGACTCTTGAATCTGCAAGAATCAAGGTACCCAACGTTGTGGGTAGGCAGAGAAGGGCAAGTCTGTGGAGATAAAGAAATTCTCTGAACAATAAGGTAGAAGAGTGACTGTTCCCTGTTTTGCTTGTTTATTGTTGTTGTACTTGCTGGCATTCTTGATTACTTTTTCAACTACTAGTCTTGCACTCTACTTAAAAAAGGGTGAGCTGAATTTGGCTGTCAGTTGTGCTGTGTTAACAAAGTGGGCAAGCTAATTATGAGCATAGAACCTCTGTGTAAGAAGCATAAAGATCCATCTGGATTCTCAGCTTCCAGAAAGACCATGCAATATCAGCAAAAAAAACCCCATAGGTACACATCCAAAATTCTCTCCAAGAGACAATAAACACAGAGACAGGCACCTCATTTGACAGTAGCATTTCCAGTTAAGACTGACTGAAGTAAGGGGCTCTGGTATGCAAATGTATCTGCATCCCTCTCCCTTCATGTAGACTCCAATGCATTTCACTGAAATCCAGCTGAAATAAAACGCAGGAGTCCCTCACAGACCTTTTAGCTCTCAGAAACACTGGGGCTTCTGGCACCTTGCTGACCTTGAAATCTGGAAGCAAAAGGTTTCAGATAAAACCACAGACACTGCATGTGTTTAAACAGTGAATAACAATTAGTTGCCAGGGCATCCCATGGGGATTGGAGATCATGATGCTCTTCAGGGGAAGAGCTGACAGCAAGTGTTAACACTGCAGAACTGAAAGAGTGAAGGAGGACTCTGGCAGAGATGAGTGTGCATGCAGAAAAGTCTGTAGTGATTGGAAATGTGTTGGGCCAGGAGGAAGAACAGCAAGGAAGAATAAGGGAGGAGAGGACAAACCAGGAATAAAAGGATAATTGTATAGATTTTTAAGGACAGAATAGATGCTTGCAGCTGTATAGCTTGCCCTTCTCTTGTGAATAGACCAAATTTTTCTGTAGGAGAACATGGTCTCAGTTTGGTAATAAATCTTCCTGAGTCAAAGTGCACTTGTAGTCTACAGAGTGTAGTTTTGCTGTAACTCAAGTGCTGAGAGCAATGCAGAAGGATTTGCATAAGGTATCTGCTTGAGGAATGGCACTGGATTACTGAAAATTAGATGCATTCCGTGTGTCTCAGTTTGCAAGATAAGTGAGAAATCTTGGCTAAATGAGCTCTCTCTGCTGAGGCAAGATACAAAGACTTAGCTCTTGAATGTATGTTTAGACAGCATGTGCATTTCTGTCACTTTAATTCAAATCATTGGACTAAGATGACCACAGCATTACTAGTTGCAATGTATGTTGGTGGTCCAGTGCAATTTAATATCTTCATTATACTCCAGAATCAGCTTCCAAGGCATATGAGACAATTAAGTGTTTTAGTCACATTGAAGTTTCCCTGGTGGCTTGACTGTTCATTTGTCTTGCTCTGCTTTTTGGAGTCAGTTGCTGTCACTGCCTTTTTCATACCACATTCAGGCACAGCTTCATGGTTACAGTCCCAATGAGATTATGTAAACTAGGGAAATTCTCATTTTTTTATTTAAGACTTTTATTCTTCCTTGCTATATCACTTACCTCTGTCTAATTTTATGGTTTTATCTCTTAGGCTGACCTCCACTGAAAAGCAACTGAATGGATTCCAGAACAGCCTTCAGAGTGCTGCACCCTGTGAGCCAGGGACGTATTCCACAGGTGAGTGACAGTGCTAAAGACCGTGAAAGTGGGGGTGGGTATGCTGAGATGCTTTCATCTGTTTTCAAGAACTGCCAGGGAAAAGACTTATCAGCAAGAAGAAACACAGCTGCCTCCTCTACATGTAGTGGTTCCTAGGTAACAGCCTGGGTTCAGCTGTACAGGGAATTTATACCCCCTGGGATTAAAAAGACTAAACAGAAGGGAGCATAGGCTGAGTTTCCTAGAGTTGGAAGACCCTCTTAAAATATGGCTGGGGAGGGAAAAAACTACCTTGGCTCAAATGGTTCCTTTTTGCTTTAGGCTTTGGCTCAAGATGCTCTCTTGTTTAAGCTTGGTCTGTAATAAAGCGCCGGGACATTCTTTGCATTTTTCTTTGGTCTTGCATTAAAGCTCTTAGTGCAGAAAGATATAGCTGAGAGTTGTGAATCAGCTACATAGTGAAGTCAAGTAATAGATGTGAAAGTATCTGATAAAAAATCACTGAGAGTTACAGAATCAAATCTTCATCTTTCTCTAGTGGCTAATTATTTCAAACAGGTTTTTCTGCTGATAAGTTCTCAGAAAATGAGGGCCTAATCATTTATGCAGACCTATTGGCAGGTAGAGCATAGTCTTGTAAACCCATACTACCCATGGCTCACAGTAATTTGTGATAGTGCTGTAATGGAATATGTGGACACATTATGTTCCAGAATGCTTTGAAAAATGATGTTTCTGATCTCCTGTTTTGCAATGGAACTGTGGAAACATGACTTAAGTGTCACTAATGCAGCAATCTCTGTGTTTCCAGAGGCTGAAAGAAACGTTTGTGGAGGGGTTCATCTCTTGGATATTTATCTCTAAAATTTGAAATATGACATTTCCTTTATTTATGTTAGTAATTTTTTTTCTGATCCTCTAGCACAAACATTCAGCTAATGCACTTAACATACAGTTCCAAACTGCCTCCCACAACTTTCCCACCTGCCAAAAACTCCAGTTATCCTGCCAGCAATTTTATAGGGTGAATGGCCACAGTCAATATAAAACACCCTATGGTACACTGGAACATGACAGTGTACTCTGGCATATAATGGGATTATCCAAACAAATAAAATTATATTAACCCTGTATTATGTGTATAGCTGAATCAAAAGTTTATAATGCAATTTAGCTTTTTAGTACAGTATATAAAGCAAGGTTACAGATAAATTTAAAAGTAAATGTAAAAATGAAGTTCTCAATATATTGACAAAACTGGTTTGTTGAGTGGACTTACATGAAGGTGTTTGTATGTTGGATTCTGCCTTCTTTTTCACATTTTCAAGAGTACTGTTACAGTTGCCACCCTCTAATTTTAACCTTTCCAAGAGAATCTCTCCATCTCCTCTGGATACTGTTGTTATGTTGGTCCATGATAACTGTAGGCAGCATTTTGCTATCCTTCCCCATTTCTGTGAATACCTACGCAATGCATGCATGAAGATGGGTGATAATATTAATGATGGTATGCAACAGCCAGAGCTGAAGGAATAATAGAGGATAGATAACAACTGTGAAGTTCAAGATAGTCGCTCCTTTGTGAATACTTATAATCCAATAAGAATTGAGAACTTCAACTCATGTTTCCTTCTGTAGAGCTGGTCTAGCTGCATTGTGCTAAACTACCCTCTTTGAAGCTGAAACAAAGGGTTACCCTGCTATTTAACCAAGAGTAGCAGGGCTTTGGTAAAGCCCAGGTTTGGCTAGGGGTAGGCTAGTAGAACCATGGTGGATGGGTCACTCAAAGTTTCCTTGCTGCTAAAAGAGGTACATAGCTCCAAGAACAGTGCTAAATATTGCCATGATTAAACTAACTGGAGCCAAATGTTTGTTCTTGAAAATTGGGGAATGATATTTTCTTCAGCTTTGCACCAAGCTACTGCTATGTGTCAGAGGCTGTTGTGCCCAGTTTGTGTCTCAGAAACTGCTCTGAAACTACTGCTCTCACAGTAGTCCTTGCTGCAGGAACAGCTGTTTTTCTTCTTCACTCTCTCCATTGATGGCTTACACTAGGGCCCTGATTTTCCCTCAGCAGCAGTTTACTTGGGGTTACTGTTTCACATGTATTTAGTATCTTAGATACCAACTGGAGAGGTTGGACACACAAGTCATGAAGCAAATCACAGAATAAACTGCAAGCATTTAAAGACAGAACGCTGTGAAAAGCTGCAGATATAAAAGAGGAACCAGGCAGAACCTGTGTATAAACACATACATACAGATGTTCAAAAATGTCTGAGAAGCTTGAATAGGCCTTCTCTAACCGCCTATCTGAGAATAGTTGTGGGGCTTTGTGAAGAGGCATAAAGGCGTCACAAGTGATCTTACTTCAAGCCAGGATGTTGCTCAATGGAAAAGAGAGTCAGGCAGTATGGAGACTTTTAACTAGACTGTCCAGAAGACAGTTCACTAGTGATTAGTGCTGCAACTGTAAAGTATCAGTTGTAGACACTGTTGTGCAGTGGGCTCAGGCTCTCAAGAACATATCCTTTGAAATAAAAGGGAAAATAAAAGTCAACATTTCTGCAAGGTAGCTCAGGATTCTGAAACAAACCACCACTACAATGAAAGTAGCCTCATCCTCATTTCACAGAGGCAGAAGTTGTGGGAGCTGTCTGTCACTGGTGTAATGAGAGAGAAGGCAGAGAGCCTCATGATGCTATACAGACAGAAATCTAAATTTGAAAGATAGCAAATGGGGGTTATTTGTAGTGTCTGAAGAGACAGATTCTTAGCAAAATTTGCAGAAGTTTAGCAGGATTTATTCTAATAAATACTAAGAACTACTATCTGTAGGGAACATGTAAATTACTTGTGACCTGAGTTTTCACTGAACACCCAGCCACTAGTGCATTTCTAAAAACAGAGTCATTATCACATTGCTTTTTTAATTCTGTGTTACTTTGAGGGTCCCTCAGCATGACACTGATTGTTTTGTGTTTTGTGGAATTCAGCAATTCAGTTAGCATTGTTGAAACAGGGTGATCTTGAATTAAGGAACCAGTTCTCTTTTCAAAGTCTTTTTCAGCATATAGCTTGCTGAGCAACAACTGAGTACTGTGGTTGGTTGTTGAGGTCCAGGTTGTCTTTAGGAGGCTGTGCTTGATATATGGAGGCTGTGGTTGAGTTCAGATGATAGTCAGGCTGGTCATTTTTGTTTTACTATATATTTTAAGAATATAAGGTGTATGGAGACGTTTTGCTGGTTTATTTTCCTTTTCTCTCTAGTGGCATTAGGTAAATAGTTTATGAATTTGTTTTCTCCAGAAAGTGAAGATCTAGAAAAAAAAAAGTCACTTTTCCACCAGAGTTTAGCTTTTGAACAAGCTGAAAAGAAATATCAAGGAATTTTAGTAGTTATGTGTTGACCTCAAAGTTAGAAATTATTTCTATTGATTATTTTTAATTTTTGAAAATGCTAACACAAAGGAGATTTTGGGGAGACCAGAGGATGAAGAGCACTTTATGAAAGTCTAACAGTATAGTCCGAAGCACCTTCTCTGTTCCTGAATTGGACTCTTGTCTGCAAGAGTCTGGAGATAGGAACAATCTGAAAGTGTAGTTAACCTCTCAGTGCAGCTGTAGAGTAGATGCTCAAGTTGATTTTATTTGGTTTGGTGTGATATCTAAAGGTTAACAGCAACTGTTGAGTTGTTCTAAGTTGTTCTATGAATTACACCTGTGTTCTTTAGGCTTTTATCCTTCATTTGCTGCCAGCTTTTTGAGAGTTTGTGAAATTTTTATTTTAAAAGCTTCAGGAGACAGAACACCTCTGGAGTTCTGTTTTGCTATGACAAAAACATAATGTAGTAATAAACTATATAATTACAAACATGAATCATTAAAACCGTGCAAAACTAATGGTTCCAAACTTGACAGGACCTTCATATTTCCATAATCAGACTGATTATCAGTAATTAAGATTTATGGTGCTGATGTTTATATTATTAATATCAAAATAACTTGTCCACTATGTTTGCTGAGAGGGGAAAAAACCCATTAGAATTATAGGAGGTTAAAATTAATAATATGCATTTCAAGTTTGACAGTGAAGACTGCTAATTCTTGTGAAGTCTTGGATCTCTACCTAGTCTGGTTGAAAACATGAGCCTAAAACTAATTTATTTGTATTTTAGTTTTCTGGAGAATCTGTGATGCAGAAAGTGAGTGTCAAAACTCATTCTGAAACTAGGATGAAACTTATTGAGCTAGTTGGTATAGACTTGATTTTATTTCCCATGATTTTCAGTTCTGTAGCTGTGCTTAGTTGCAGGGTGATGAACAGTTGTCTGTTTATTTTAGACATTCACCTGCCCCCGTATCTGCATGAATGCCAAGTCCAGAAAGTATGCAACTCTTTGAAATAAAGTGTGTTATCATCTGTAAGGGCTTAAAGCTGCATCCTGAACTGCAAAGAGACTAGAAGACTACAGGGATTAATAAATTGGATCTAATCCATGTAGAAGACTGGCTGCTATTCTTAATTTTTCAGTGATATCCTTCTTTAGGCTCAGGTGAAGAGCAGTGTCTGAATGCCATCCAAATATGATGGGTGAGTAAGCAGAGTGGTCCAGTATGGAGCAATGAATAGAGCCTGCTTGTAAACTAGTGACAGTAACGAGCCCTTTTGTACTCACTCTTCTCACCATCTAGCATGTTCCAGATTTTTTTAATTTTACAGAAAATCTACAAGTAGACTGTGTATTCCCAAAGTTTTTTATATCCAAGATTATTGTATGGACCTTCAAAGCAAGGTCATGTTGTTACATGTCTTGTTATTGGAGACCTGAAATTAGAGTTACCATTGGAGGTGCTAAGTCTCCACTCCCTGTTGCCTACCCACTGCTTGAACATTATTCTTGAAATGCAGCCTCTTTAGATTCCTTTAGCAGGTATGCAAATGTACAAGCTTCTAAATTGTCCTGGTCCAGGAAAAAAAAAGGCAAGTAAACACAGTAGGCATAGAAACAAGACACATACAATCACTTCATATTTTTTGCGAGATCTAAACAAACAAACAAAAAAAAGTATGGAATTTGGAGATTCTTTTATCAGTGAGAATGTCTCAACTCTCTTGGAGCATAAAGGGTGGGGATGAGATGTAATATGTACTGTTACCACTGTGCATGGCCTGTGTCAGTCTTCCAGCCATTTGTTACATTGGGTGGAATTCCCAGCTGCCCAGCCTTGTCCAGGCTTCCTCAGCTTCTGCCAGGTTCCCTGCAGCCTTGGAAAGCAGTAGATTGTTGAACACCAATGTGTTTATTTTTATGTTGTTACCACATTCCCAGGAGGAACCTTGACTATGATTTCAGCTGGTCTCACCACACTGTCCAAATCCTTCATCAGGAGCAGCTAGGAATAGAAATCACTCAGGTTTCTATACAGCACATTGCTGGTGCGCTTCCTCCTTCTCAGTAATCCTGTTAATTCCAGTCTTCATTTGCCACCCTCCTGGTTCTCTGTGTTGTTGCTGTGACTGACTGCACAAATGGTCTTCACTTCAAAAGATGACCTTCAAATGGGCACCTCAGGTAACCTTTACCTCAGATTGTTCTGAAGATCCAGGCACAAGGTATCTTATGACACAAAAGAGCAACTTTTGATGTCACTTTATTACTTATCCTAGTCCAGGAATGGAGTCGTGATGAGCTCTTCCACATAAATCTTTTCAGAACCATCTGTCTGGCTGAGAAGCTCTGGGTGGATCATTGAAGAGGGAGCTCCTGTGTGATACCCAGCACTTTGCATCAAACTTTTGTGGTGCAGTCTCTCACCCTGCATATAGCCTTTGTTAACAGCAGTTCTGTCAGTATCTCTCTGTAATGCCATCTCCATGCAGAGAAAGGATCATTGAGAAACAGAATTAGTCCTTTTTATCATACTTTGGAAAGCTGGGCTTGAGTTGAATCCTACTATTGTGCCTCCCTTTTTGGAATCAGTTACAATGGAGGATATTTAGTTGCACATTTGTTCTTACAGTTATCTTCCTAAAGCCATTGTTTTTTATGCATCACAAAAACATACTGAATAATTTCTCTCTTACCCTCTGACTTCCACTGTTTTGTAAAGAGAGCACACAGGAAGGGGGTAAAAATAATTTCACTCCCTGCTTTAGTTGATCAATCAGTCCAAGGTCAGATAATGACACACAAGTGTGTTAGTACCAGATGGGCCTGAAGGGAAAGCAGAAGGGTAAAGAGGCTTGCTTTTTACCCCATTTCTTAGTACTCTTTGGAGGGCAGGGAACCATTATCGTGGGATTAACAGTGAGCAAATATTGATGTTTTGTATCAGTACCTTTTAAATAGATACAAGTTACGAATGGGACATAACTATGTTTGAGATTACCCAGTTCTGAGAAAAGTGTATGTAAGTCTCATTAAGTCTCAGCAGAGTGTAAAGTGCTGCCAGAAGCAGCATTCCAGGCCCTTCTTAGAGGATAAGATAATATCCAACTCAGCCATCACCTCTCAGATAGAACTGAGGATCAGTGTTCACTTCTAATCATCAGAAATTACATTTATTCCTTAACTTTGTGAGAGCAACCTGCCTCTCACATCTTTACTCAACCTTTTGCCTTTCTCTTATGAAAGGAAGGAGCTTTTTCCTGTTGCTGCTTATCTCATGCCACTGAAAGGACATTCCATGTCTCAGGACTCTCCCTGAGAAAGCAGGAGAAAATGGAAAGAACAGTCTTTAGAGTCAGCTTCCCTGTCTAAGAACTAGAACTCAGCTTGAATTTTAGGAGCCTTTGCATCTGACAAACTCGGAAGCAGGATGAGTGATGACTGCAGGCAGTTGGTGGTTTTGCCTGACGGGGGCCTTGGGCATGGCTTGTTCTCAATAGTGAAGCAATGGTGAACTGCCTGTGTTTCCTTGCTGCATTGGAAATGTCCTTCAGTATCAGGTGTGCAAAGACACAGGAGAGGTTATATAATATTTTGGCTGCTTCTGTCTCACATCTGGTCCTTTGGCATTAAGAGGAGGGGATGATTTTGCCCATCCAAATTGGATTTTGTTTTAATCTGGCATTGTTTTATTGAGGCTAAAAATAGAAGCCAAAATGTGTGTGAATAGGCTAAAACATGTATCTGAAGTTATGAAATTAAATGTGGGGAAGAGCCAGACAGGAGGGGAGCCACAGTGAATCCAGGAGTAGAGAGTTGAATAAGGATATCAGAAAGAAGGCTGTCAAGTACAGAAGGGCATTAGCAGTTGGGATGAGTGTGTGGTAAGTGTCTTTAACACGGGGAGCAGGAAGGCTCATGCTGACTTCCACTGGTATTTCTTTACTTGTCATTGAGTCTGCTCACTGCTTTTTTACGCAGGAAGGCTTGTCTGGAATACAGTTGTATATACCATTCATGACATACACATCACACTCCCCACACACACTCAGACATCCACACCTCCCCACCCCCCAAGAAAATTTACATGACTTGGAGCTGCTGCTTTCCCTTGCCTTCTTGGTTCAACAAGTCAGGTTGAAGTTGTGCCCAAAATATGGGGGAGGGAAGGCTGGCTTTCTGTTGTCAGCTGTCCTGGCTTGCTAGTGTCAATCACCCATAGATATAAATAAACACCATTTATTTATTGTCTTCTTAGTTATACTATATATTATCAAGAGAATGCTGGGCATCATTCTAACATCAGAAATTCAGTCTGGGATAAAAAAATAATCTGAATTTCTAGGATTATCTTAGCTTTTCAGGGAGAAAATAAGTTCCTGCTTTCAACACTAGTTTCAGGAGACTTCAATAAATCTGCTCAGTTCTCCCACACATTTTCTTCAGGTAAGATGAAGCAGTCCAAACCAGCTGTAAAAAATACTAGCATGGGCTCCTGACCCAGTACTGTCACTTAGCCTTGTGCTCATCTCTGTCTTATTCCAGCAGCTTGGAAGCACAACTAGATTTAGGTGCTGGTTTGTGAGCAAGGCTATATACATCTGTGCTGGGAAAGTCTACATGGCAATGAATTTTAATGACTTCATGCAACTCCTTTGATTTTCTTGTGACTGAGAGTCATATCCATAAAAGGGAGATAATCCTCTTCTTCCCACTGTGACTGTTCTGAGTTTTTGAGGTGCAGTCATGGATGACATAATAGTGTGTAAACATGTGGACAGACATATGGGCAGATACTTTGACACCTCATGGCAGGCAGAGAAAAAAGGAGGCTCATGCTGTTGTATGTAGTGATTCACTGCAATGACTCTATCACTGGAGAGAATCAACCCTTAATGTTTGCTTCTGTCAGCAATGAGCTCTTTTTCTGTTCCTGCTAGTCAACCAGAACCTCCATCTACTCAACTGCAAGGAGGTGGAATGTTCACCAGTAGCTTTGGAATTATAAAACTTCAGAGCATTATATACATTAGTATTTACAAAATTACTGAATTGGCAACGAGCTGCACTCTTGATAGGAACTTACATATGTACTTATAGACATAGGAATGCCCCTTTCTGTGCTGAATCCTCAAGGTAATCATACAAGAACTCAAGGAAAGTGATTTTAACTCTGTGAAAAAAGACAAACTGTGCTATGCATTTCTGTAGGAATATGAAGGCTCAAACATCTTCAAAACAGGAAAATGAGGTTGAAGTTGGCTACCTTCTCTCATGTGCCTTTGTTTCCTTAATTTCAGCATATTGCCAAGGGATACGTTTCTGGACTGGTATCCTGTCTTAATGCACATGGTTGACAGTTTGGTTCCTAATTCAGTTTTCAAATTTTCTGTGCGGTGACATAGCTGGCAATTTCACTTTCTAAACATCTTTCCAGATCCTCTGTGCTCTGTGATGTTTGGCTGTATGCTGGACTTTCAAGGAGAGTGAGTCTATTTTCTTTAAATATAGCAATATTTTTAAGAAACATCTCTCAACAAATGTCACTCATGTTTAGGAGAAAGCTGATGTGCCAAATACAGAGGACAAGATTTACTTACTAGGTTAGCTGTAAAATGCAAGCTGTCAAAAATAAACTTGGTACATTTCTAAGTGTTTTTGTTTTTTCTTTTTAAAGGGCTGTCTAAGGATGTTTAAGAAGGGAAGATGACATTGACATTTTCCCATAATGTTCCTAAATAGTAAAATGCTGCAGTATGTAGAAGTCAAAACTGCATCTTTATAATAATGGGGGGGGGGTGGGGGATTCCATGTTCCCAATTTGTTTCTTTTTAAAGATCAGCCTTTCACACCCCTAGCTGTCCTGCAGCAAGGCCCTCAGCATGTGTTGGGCTGGGGAAGTCAACTCCCATGCAAGCAAATGAGTAAAACACCCAAAGAAAGAGATAAAGGATACTGATGTGGGAGAAAGATTTAGAGAAAGGGTGCATGTGAAGAGATGAGTCACATGAGTCAGAAGTAAGAGTGAAAAAGGTATTCTGGGGCTTGAAAGGAATACCAAGAGTACTTTTTCACACAGTAGCTTACTAAATTAGGTTTTGTTATACTGGTTTGTGATTTCATCTGTTATGACAGAGAGGTTGTGTGATAAAGACACACAGGTTTCTGGTAATGGCTGAGATTTGCAGAGCAGTGCATCAGTTTTCCCCACAAAACAGTCCTCAATGATTACTCAAAATCTTTGAGTAAAAAAGTAAAAAAACTTTGTCTTTTTTTCCCAGCTTCTGCTCGCAGAGAAGGATTAACACAGAACTCCAGGTGAGGAATCCCAAGAGTTGCTTCAAGTATGGGACAAAGGAAGAAGCAGCAGCAGTGACTTCACACCATCACATTCCCATATCAGGCAAAATGAGAGAAAAGGAGGCCTTGGTGAGAGAACAACGCACTGAAAAGAGTATCTAAACATCTGTGAAAGCAGACTGTGGTGATACACCTGCAAGCTGAGGTGAATGAATGCTTCTGAGAGCTTCTGCTGCTGAGTCTTTTTCCCTTCTTTTCGTTTCTTCCTCAGCTCTAACTGTTAGATCTTTCCGTAAGACGAGAGATCTTTCCTTCAGCTGTTGTTCCTAAAGTCCAGGTTTGAACATAAAGTCTCACTTGCTCAGCCATTTCAATCTGTTCTAGTCTGGTAATAGCCAAGGTTCCATGCTTTCATCACATGGCAGCCATCAGCAGAGAAAAATATTAGAACATGCAGCTGCAGATGTCTATGTTGGTTGTCATCTTGAATTTTGGCACAGAGCCATAGAAATGAACAGTTTAAATAAAGTAATTTCATTTGTTTTATTTGGTTATAATTTCAGTTATTAATTGACACGCCCAAAATATTTGCTGTTGTTATACTGGACAGGATTTTAAATGTGTCTTTGTTTCATTGTAGGATACTTGTATTCTGTGTGGCTTATTTTGTATTTTGATTTCTCTTTGTTTAGACTTTTTAAACTTTTTTAATTGGCTGATGTTTTCAGACCCAGGCTTGAACCCTAAGGCCCAGGTGGCTCTTATCAGTTGCAATAGTGTCTTGGTGAAGCACTCCAGTTAAAATTTGCCTAGTGTTATGAAAATTAGTTTACTTGTGTTAGAAAACAATGTCAGCAGCTGGAAATTGCATTGAAGAGAAGATCCATCCATCCTTAAAATGAACAGGAAGCAGCTTCAGCTCTAGCTCTTTGTTGGTGCCAAGTTAAAGGAAAACTCAGTATTTTGCAACTTCTGCCTTGTCCAACGGCATGGGGTGTGATTGACAATTCTCAAAGGTAAAAAATGTTCTGCTGCTTGTAGGAGAGTCTTCAGAGATTGGATTCAATATCCTGTTTGACCTCTTTTCTTACTCCGCTTTCCCCTGTCTTTTGTAGTTTGTATCGTCAGTGTTAAGAGATCATTCAAATATGTTGACAAATAGATAGTGATTAACCCAAAGGACTGACAAAAGAAACTGTATCAGAGGGGAAAAGTGTTTTCTCTTGAAATGATTATGTTCATATTCACTCTTGAATTCCACGTATTTTCTGTCACTCAAGACCAAACAAGTTGTGAGAAGGTTAAATAATTATGTTCGTACCTTATTAGTTTCACCATCACTCACTTCAGGCATGAATTCATAGGATGGAACATTTTTTTCTATTTCTGGTACACTCACGCATGTGACACACTGAATACATCACTTGCCTGAAGTGCAGCTCTCTGATACAGCTGTTCTCTTCCGTAGCTTATTTTTCATTTCCATTAGACAGTCATGATCACGTTCACTTTCTTCACATTTTTGTTGGCTCTTGATTAGTGAAAGTTTAGTTGCAGAAATTGTTACTTCAGACTTGTGCACATTCTTAGCAGCTGTGGGCTTCAAGACCATAGGTCTGTCTTCTCCCAGCCTACTCTGCTATGCATGGTATTGGCTATCCTATACCTCCAGCTCAGTTAAAGGGGCTATTTCCATGTAAGATTGAGCTTCAGTAAATAACAGTTCCATTCCTTTCTTCCTCCCAAAGGATCTGAGTTATCCTTATTCTACTGGGCGTTATGTACAGATTGAGTAGCTCTAGGATATACATCCTTATGGATCTCTCATCTCTGCTTTTGTTCTCTAGCTTGTTTGTTCAGGTCATCACAGCCACTACTGAAAACTGTAAAGAGGTTTGTAGGATAAAGATTTAGTTAGCTCAGGAAAGGTGATCGTCTAATAGGAGTAATTGCCAGAAGCAACATTCTTACATCTTCATCAAGAAAATTACCAGTTAGTGTTGGTTTATTATGAACACAGGTGAATTGTTTTGTCAGCTTTGCCAGTCTGACACCCACTCATTTTGGGATAATGATTTGAACTTGATTATAGACATTTTTCTTGAACTTCTTTGCATTGCATGTTAGATATAGCCAACCCCCACATCTGTAACTGTGATGACTTAGTAGCAGTATATTAAATATCCTGTTTCTGAGATTTTTTAAATATTCAGGAAAATACACAGTACAGTCTAAGACCCTTAATTTGAAGGGATGAATTTTGTCAGGAGAAGTGAGGACTTGCATCCTTTTGCCTGAGAAAATTTTTCTCCTGCTTCTGACAAATTAAAAAAAAACAACCCAGGAGTCTCAAGACTGGTCCTTTACCTGAAGCCAAACACCTAGACCTTGAATTCCTATTTATTCTCAGGATGTGCTCAGCCAGAGCATTGAATGACACAGCAGTATTATTTTGTGTTGAGCATCTGCTGATTCCATCTCTGAACACAAATGCTGATACACTGGGAACATGTGCAATAGAGAATCAGAACAAATTCTAGAACAAATTGCAATTCCAGGCTCTTATTTCTTCCATTCCCCTGTATTCTTCAGCCAGGAGTCCATCTGTCTTTGTGCATGGTGGGTACTGTATACTGAAAGGTAACATGTATTTTGTCTCTTTGCAGCTCTGCTGCCTCCTTTATCTGTCCCTTTCCATAAGCCTCTTAGTGCTGCAGTTAAGAGATTCAGTGGGGAAGCACAGGACTCTTTCCCACTCATCTTGCGAGAGAAGGCAGTTTACAGGAAGTGTTTTCTACTACAAGGGAGGGAAGTAGAAAAGTAAACCATTTTGGATATATCATAGTTGCACAAGGGGAGTACAGATATATATGTTCCTCAAGTGTGGTTTATTTTTTCTATGTATTCAACAATAGTTCTGTCAGAAGTGTCCTTCCTCACTGCAAGACAATTATTAATAGAAAGCCCCAACAATCATTCAGCATCTATCTCAGTGCTGACAGTGAATAATGTAATCAAAGGATCCCCCTCTTCTGTGATGTTTGTATCACTTCTAAATTACAGAGCCTGTTCTAGCGATAGAGAATCAGGCTTGTTAGGCTTGAATGCAGTAATGTGCACATCAGAGTCCTGGAGGCTGAGCATATGAAGAGTTCATACTGCATTTTGTACTGTGTTTTAGGTGATGAGCATACCACGGCATAAAAATTCAGGGCAGGGATATTAAATTCTCTCCTTTCCAGAAGAGCTGACTTGTGCTCAATAAGTGAAGTATAAAGTTTCCTTTTCACATGTTTTATCTTGACCTTTAAAACAGCCTCACAAGGCATGTGAGTGCCAGCAATGGGAGATCATGTTGTGACCCTAGACAAACCACTTAGTCTTGGATGCCAACAAGATATACTGAAATTTCTATTCTCAAAACTAGGTATGTTTTTGGACAATCATGATTTCTTGGAAATGTTCCTTACTATGATGCCTGCAAGGTCAACAGATGTATCTCTGATACTGGATCCACATTGTGAAAGGAAGTTTTGGTCTCAAGACCTTTTTTTACCAGTAGGAATCTCAGTGCTGTGCCTTTTCCTCCTAACAGATACTCTCCATATGCATGGAGTTGAATGGCTGGCAGTGCTAGACCATTCTTCTTTACCTGAGGTGGCTTCTCAGCATGGATTCTCAGCATGCATTCTTTAAGGCCTGTACCTTCTACTAATACAATGGTTCCCGTAATTTTGGATTATTTGCTGGAAACAAAAGTAGTCTGTCTCCCATTTTATTTTTTAAGATTTTCTTGATAAAACTGCCAAAGACAGTTTTACCTCAGTCAGTTTTATATTTGCTGATAATCCTGGACTCACTGTTTGCATCTGAATGAGTTATTTGCTGGTGTATAAATAGTTGGATTTTTTTGGTTGCAGTAAGTGGCTGATTGATCCTCTTCAAATTATTTCCTTTCTGAACACCTTATTCTCATAGTTCTGTCACAGGTTTCTTCCAAAAGAAGCTTCCGAGTTTTACTTAAATCTGGGGCTGGGCTTTTTTTTTTTCTGGAATCTCATATTTCTAGAGCTGAGACATCCTTGTTTACACCAGACATCAGAAGAACCTTATTTAACTTTACAGAACTGAGATTGCATATACCAACAGCTTCACATTCATAGTTTTCTTCATGCAGAAAGTGGTTAATTGGAAAAGAGATGAGCAATGCGTATGTAAGGGAGAAGTTGAAAAAGGAGTAATAGTTCACAATCATGCCCACTAAAAGTAGGAGTATCAAATGAAGCTAACAGATACAAGTTTCAAAGAAAAAAAAAAAAAAGTTGGGGGAGGTAGCTTTTTTCCCTCAGTATGTACTTGACCTGTGGAATTTCTTGGTACAAGATGTGAATACAAGAAAGAGTATGTGGTTTGAAAAGACAAGTAGACCAATCCATGAAAAGGTAGTATGTTAGGGCATATTAAATATTAAAACTGAAAACCAGGAAGTTTCTAAGACTTTTCAAATTACTATTCTGGGGAATTCTCACAATGGGCTGTTCCAGTTTTAAACTTGTGCATCAGGCATGTGCTGCTGACCTGCTGCTGTCCCACAAGAGCTAGACTAGGTTGTCTTGCAGTCTTGACTTTTTATAGGTTTTTTATTTTGAGAGTTGCAGTACAGGACAAAGCTACTTTCATGACAATGGCATGTTCCACCAGAATTCATCCTGTGGTCCTTGAGTTTTCTCAAGAAAAGTGTCTGTTGCTGACACATGCCAAGGTGTCACATGCAACTTGTGTATGCATTCACCTGGCTGGGCATTATATATTGATGAGGCTTTCCGAATGATGAAACTTTTAAAAGCACATAAAGAACGCCAAGATCCACTTCTAGACAAGTTGGGATTTTGGAGGAAAGTAGATTGCTACATGGAACTCATCCATAATATGATCATTGTAAATGATTAAATGTGTAAATATGGAAAAAAAAACCCAAAAACTTTCCACTAACTGAAGCTTTTCAGTTATCTTTTTCATACACATTTCACTTGCCATCTTTGTTTTCTGAAGAGCTTGAGTGCTGAGCACCTTCAAGGTGAATGTGCACAAGCACAGCATGTCTTAAGGAACCTGATAACTTGTTCCTTCCTGCTTTGGAACACGGCTGTCCTTTTCCAAAGAATGAAGTTTCCCTGCTGACATAGATGTGTAGTTAGGAAATGCAGACTGATTTCAAAATGGTTGGGTTCTGAGTCTTCCTCTGCAGTTGTAATGCAAGAGGACAACTCCACTGAACTGAAGGTGACAAGTAACACCAGTCTGCCCTGAGGAGTCTGCTCTTTTAACTTACCAAAAAAGGATTTTATTTGCCCTCATTGAAAAGGAGTTTTCACTGCTGTTTTGAATTAAAAGGAAAGAATCACTGATCACTGTGGAGATCCTGGTATGAAGCCCTTGCCAGTGGTATTCAGTGAATCATAGTGGTTCCCAAGGGAAAAGACTGTACTTAACAAGGCCTCCTCTCTACAAGCCCACGCCTACAGCACAGACAGTGAGTTTGAGAAATCTTCTATTCTTTGAAAAGAAGTGGCTTCTTTATCTGACCTGTCAGACAATTCAAATTTGCCTTAAAAAGACCAAATTGGCTGCAGTTGTTAAAGATTTAGGGGCTGTTAAAGGTATGTCTTTTGTTAATAAATTTTTTATCATTTGTTTGGGCAGGTGAAAGAGGTGCTGTTATCTCAAACTAATTTCAATACGGTATTTGACATTTTGCCTTCTGCTGTTCTTGGGTGGGCAACAGAAGACAACTCCAGAACATTAATTCAATTTGGTGCCCCTGCAAGAATATTTTATAAAATCTTATTTTATTGTAATTATAGTAATGGTAGCCTCCTTCCTCCCACACAAATTGGAGACAAGTTACAGTACTCAGTTATGTTCTAAAGTAATAAAATCTCCCCCCAAAATATTTTGGGGTTATTGAGCTGATCCCTACATCTTGAGTGTTATCATGTCAAAAATCTGGAGTGAGTTTTGAAAAGTTTCTGTACTGACAAGTCAAAATGCTTCACTGTCATCACTTCCTCATTCTACTACAAAATTTTTTTTTTTCTGAGTCTAGGGAAGAAAAATGACAAGGGATTTTTTCTGTACTGTTTCCAGTAATTATTATATAGGATTTACCTCATGTTTTTCATGTGGTTTTGCCTTATATATATGATCTTCTGAAAAAGTGCTGTGTTAGATATATTTAATATAATATATTTAATAAACCTAGGATGTCTTAATACATTCTTCAAGGTGCAGATGGAGAGCTGTGAATCTGCTGGGAAGTTTCAGGCATCCCATTGGTGCCAGTACTTACATTGCTAATGCTTCCAGTTGCATGATGCTTCCCTCATTCAATCTGGGCTTGTCTTCCTTCCTGAAAGTGTTTTCTCCACTATTTCTAATTCCAGAAATTCTATGTGGAATACACTTTGTCTGTGATATCAACGTGGATTTTTCTTTTCCTTATACACAGACCTACAAAATTCATGTCTCCATATGTCTAATAAAACTTCCTTTTGAAATTAGCTAGGAATAAAGATTGGTAGCTCCCTCTGCCAAATTGTGGCCCAGGTCTTTTGAATGAAGGCAGGTAAAATTGACAAAAATGAAAACAATTTAAAATGTCTATTCAGCACAATGTAACTGCTGCCACACTATGCTTTCCTGAGATGTTATTGCCATCTATTTTGTTTCTCTTTGTTCATTCTGTTTGGGTTTTTTTTCCAGTTCTTCAGATTAGCATGACAGAGCACATAGCATGGTATTATCTAAATGAGATCTTCCGATCCTGAAGTATATGTAGAGATTTTTGTACCAAGTCTCCTCTGAGGGGGCAGACTTCAAAACGTGTCATGCAAAGCAGCTTGTTGCAAGCTGGATGTCTTTCAGAGACTCTAGTTGAGAGTCAGACTGTCTGCTACTGCTTTCGTCTGCAAGTGGAGTTCCTTACAAATCCTTAAAACGTGTATTTCTCCCAAGCATCTAGTCAACCTGTAAGAGGATTAGAGCACTTCAAAACGCCAAAATTTTGTTTCAAGAAAGGGCCAGATTATGGTTATCATGACATTCCCCAGTCATACTACATGCATTGCACAAATCCTGTAAGATTTGCCCTGGCTGCACAGCGAGTCTTTGTTTTGTCTGCTTCCTGAAGAGGATAATAACTTAGGAGAAAAAATAAATCCTTCCTGAAAAATGTCAGGAAATATGGTTTGATATGACCCAGCTGGTTTCTTTCATCAAGTGATGTATATGGACTGGCTGTGATATATTATTATAATGCCTCATTTCTGAATCTGGTGAGTGAGTATCTAAACAGCTAGTGAGAAATGGCTGTGTGTTGGCAGACCAATAAAAGGAAGTCCACTTCACCTTCTGCAACACACCTAATTATGTTAATTTTTTTTTATTTGCCTCATGTGTACAGCAATGAGGTATCTTCTTCCTTTTCTTCTGTCACACCTGAAGGATGGGTTGCCATCTAGGGGGAGCTGGAGAAACTCAAGAAGTGGGGCCATGGGAACCTCATGAGGTTTAACATGGTCAAGTGCAAGGTGCAGTTAGGGTCAGGGCAACCCTGGTATCAACAGAGGCTGGGGATGGACAGATCAGAGCAGCCCTGCTGAGAAGGACCAGGGGTGCTGGTTGGATGAGAGGCTGGGCATGAGCCAGCCACGGGCACTCCCAGCCCAGAGAGCCAAAGGTGTCCTGGGCTGCATCCAAAGCAGCGTGGGCAGCAGGGCCAGGAGGGGATTCTGCCCCTCTGCGCTGCTGAGAGCCACCTGCAGCTCTGGGTCCCCAACAGGAAGAGCAGGGAACTGTCGGAGCGAGAGCACAGAAGGGAAACCAAGATGATCAGAGGGATAAAACTCTTCTTCTATGAAGACAGAGTGAGAGAATTGGGTTTGTTCAGCCTGGAAAAGAGATGGCTTAGGTGTGACCTAACCGGGGACTTCCAGTACCTGAAGGGAGCCTACGAGACAAAAAGAGACTTTTTACAACAGCATGTAGTGGCACAACAAGAAGGAATGGATTCAAACTAAAAGAGTAACTTTAGATTAGATGTTGGGAAGAAATTCTTTACTGTGAGGTTTGTGAGACACTCCGGCTGCCCAGAAAAAATGTGGATGCTGGAATCCTGGGGATGTTCAAGGCTGGATGAAGCTCTGAGCAACATGGTCTAACAGAAAATGTCCCTGTCCATGGTAGGGGGTTGGAACTACATTATCTTTAAGGTTCCTTCCAACCCAAACCATTCTGTGATCTTTCCTAGTCAGCTAAGTGGAATGAGAGGCAAAGAATATCACCCTTTACAAAGATACTAAGTCTTCTGAAGGAGGGAGAAATAAGAACTAAGTCTTTGTCTTTAGAAGGTACTGCTTGGTATTGTTTGGTTTAAGTTAACCAATGGCAGCATAAACCAGCTTAGGGGACAGAGTTTCTACCTGGAAGCTATTCATTAAGTTTGTAGGATGTGGGAAAACAATAATGTGGAGGGGGGAGGAGAGGAGGGGAGGAATGGTTTGCCATAAACCACAGCTGTAAAGAAACAATTATATCATTAGATAGAAGGGTCCTTATTTCTAAGTGTATTTTTCATTAAATCGTAGGCCAGTACTGGAAAGGGCCCAGCTGCATGGTTGAATGCCTTCAGACCATCTCTGTATCTTTCTAAGAAACCTAGCCCTATATAAGGGTGTTACAAAGCAGCCAAGTAACTGAGATCTTTAATCTTGGAAATTGGTCTTTCCTGGAAACACAGTGACATCCAAAGTGCTGTACCATACACTTTCTGTAATTGTGGGCATAAATGGCATCTCAAATGCATTACTGTCATTTAGAAAATGGCAATTATTAATTAATAGTTTTCACTTGCTGCATTTCTTGTTGATACACCAGAATTAATTTCTAAGACAATCTATTTCATAATGACTAAACTGTCTCATCTCTTCTGTGTTGATTTGTTGCATGATAAAGGATCTTGCATTTGTATCTGAAGCCTCTCTTCAAGAGAGGACAAGAGACACTGAGGTTTGTTGTTTCCATCTGTCACTTCTGGAACTGCATAAGAAGTTAACCAGGATTTAAATTCATTCCCTGTATGCAAAAGAAAATACTGGTAAAGCAGAGATCTGAAAGTCCAGGTTTTCTTTTACTAAACACAGTAATTTTATACAGCTTTTGACCAATATTTTCTACTGATTTTGAATGTAAAAAATAATAGATGTTATTTTTAAAGAATTAGAAGGCATATTTGCATCCTTGCACTATATACAAATTGCCACTGTTAATTCTAAAACACAATTAATGTAGATTATAGACTGCCAAGAAGACCACAGAGTAGTATAATTTTCCAAGTGTGTACATACCACACTGTTGACTCTATATGTATTGATCATGTATTTTCATGATTGACTACATTGCCTTTCAATCACCTATTAGAGAAGACAAGCCAGTATTATAGAGATACTCTTTTGTATGCCACTAGAAACACTTGTAGTGGGCAAAAAACCTTTTCTGCACAGTGGAGCTGTCTCTAGAGTTGCATCCTGGTCACTGTGATATTCAACCTACCCTGAATTGGACTTGAGAATATACTGAAGACATCTGCCTCCTAAGACATTGCAGTGGATCCTCTTCATGGGATGGCTGTAGTGATTGCATTTACGAAGAAACCTGAGCCAGACCTCCTGTATATTTGCTCTGGTGAGGACATTCTAGTCACAGATAAGGAAAGCTTTAGAGCAGCACAGAAAGATAAGAAAAGGATCTGTGAACTGAGAAAATTAAAAATTGATGGCCACAACAGAGAGATATAAGACATCCCAGGACCCAGCAGAACAGAGCTATAATGTTGCTAGAGGAGTGGACAGGTATGTTTGTCTTTTATTACTTTTGGGCACAGTCCAGCTTTCTGACTGAGTGTATTGATGTCTGTTGTTCATAAGGAAGGGTGAAACATTGAGCAGCATATCCCAGTCACACAGTGGTAACAGGGATGGGCTTTATGGAAGTGCAGTGGGATTGCTAAAGAACATCCAATTCAAAGTCTGGGGCACAAAGACTCATTTAGTCTGCAAAGACCATTCTTTGCTGAGGTAAAAGTGTACGTTCTCTACTCACTGAAGCAGCATTCCTCTCAGAGCTCTATGGTGCATTGCAGCCTAAAAACAAGGTGTTCAAGTTCAGGTCTAGGCCTTTTGCATACTATAATAGTTTGCCACAGAAAAACAGGGACTGCACAGATGGTTGTTTGATCATCTGTATAGGATCTGCCTTATGGCACTGCATAATAGGTTTTTTTCACTCTTTGTAACCATTGATCTTTGTTAAAGCGACAAACTATGCTGGGATTGTTTTCATCAGCTTTTGTTTGTTTCTGAAAACAACAAAAGGGAACTGTTGAGAGCTGTATTCAGTGTTGGCAATGAAGATCTCACTTTTTCTTTCCCATTGTCTTCTTCAATTTGCTAGCTAGTAACAGCATAGTAACTGCCCTCTGCCTTCTCACACAAGTGTCCTGAAACATTTTGGTACACTTGTGCCCAGGACTGTATTTAATCTGTTATTACTAAGCCCCATGTAGCTAGTATAGTTTGTTGCTCAATTATAGCTAAAACACCACTAGAAAAGTTACTTCAGTTTTAAGAAAAATAATTCAGAGCCCGTCTCACAAATCTAATTCTCAAATGTTGCTACAGAAATGGAAGGCTGAACAGAAAAGCAGTAACTGAAATGTGTTTGATGTCAAAAATTACTGTTCCCATGAGTATACCTGTGTCTACTGGTTGGACACTCCAGGACTCTTCACCTCGATTTTCCATTGCCATTTTGTCTCCTTTGCCAAGAGGCAAAAGGCTTGGTCTTCCTGCTGCTCCTTCCTGTCACTGAGGAGCAGCTGTGAACAAAGGCTAATAAGACAGTCCCATCTCAAGAGGCTGCCAGGGTTAATCCATGGGTGGTTCCAATGTGCTCCAAGTGCCACACAGAACTTTGAGTGTGCAAGTGTTCTAGCTCAGCCCTTTGCAGCTCCCCCTCCTTGCTTCCCTGCTTATTAGCGAGGATGCCCTTCAGTTGGATGGAGAGCAAAGCCAGCCCAGGACTCGGGAGGACAGATGACCAAAGAATAGACTGCAGCTTGTAAACCAAAACCTCCTTTGAGGCTGCTACTAAAAGGAGATCAGAGAGAATTCCTATGCCAATAGGCATCTGGATTTCTCTCTCTCTCTCTCTCTCTCTCTTTCTTTCTCTCTCTCTCACACACACACACACACTCTTGTAGCTAGTGAATTTCTGGCATGTCTGTCAGCATGATGGTGTAGTTATAATGCATTTATTTGCTCCCTGGGCAGGTGGCAGGGAAGCCTGGGCATTGAGAGGTGCATAGGGCACAGCAATACAGCAATACTATAGTGCTGCAGGATTGATCAGAGCTTTCATCATCACACCAATCACACAGGTCAGGGAGCCCCAGAGATGAAAAGGATAAAGCACTGGGGAGTGCCTCTATCAGGGCATCTATGCCCTAGCCAAAATGGCATAAGGTTAGCAGGCTGCCTTCATTGACCCACCCTTGCTAACCTCTATCCAGCTGGTGATGGTTCAGGAGGGGCTGTTTATGGTTTATTAAGATATTTGAGTTTACACTGTTTGGCAGCCTCACATGAGCTATATGGAAGCAGCCACTATTGTGAAGGGCTTGGTGGAAGAGCTGGATTCTGAGCTGACCGTGGAGAGCCCTGGACACAAGTGATTAACGAGCTAGGTGTCATTTTACACTCAGTTGCTGGGGACCAGGAACTGGGAGGAGACAGGGTGGAACCTCTGTGGTCTCTAGAACAGGACTTTTAAGTAGCTGTTTTGTCAAGTCAGAGACAGCCTCTGGGTCTCATGTGGCATTCAGCACCAAAGATTTTTACTTCTGGGAGTATCTATGGCTGCAAAAGCCCATTTAAAGGACTACATTGATTTCTTGCCTGGGCAGCATCTGTAATTTTTTATGAGCATGAAATCAGTACATGAGAGGAAGGGTGTGTTATTTACCTGGATGTGCAGATCTGTACTGGCAGACCATATATATCTTCAAATGGACATATAACATTTGTCAGCTGTGGCAACTGCATTGTCTTGGATATTTAAACAGTATTGTTGAAAGTGTTTTATGTTTGAAGGGAGCTTTATATGAATCTATAAAAAGCAGATGCCAACAGTGATGTACATGTCTGAAGGACTAGGTTGGAACAGGGCACATTTACACCAGGTACAGTCTGAGGGTAATAAGAAATTTCCATTTTGGAATTTTCTTGCTGACCTAAATTCTATCTGTTCTTTTGAAGAAACATTTTGGAAAGGGTAAAAAATTTACACTGAATATGCCACAACAGTAGCAGTTTAAAACCAGCAAATTATCTAACCCTCCAACAAAAAACTTCCTTGTGAAAAAATTAGCATCTCCCCCCACCCCCCAAATATTTATTTTTTACAAAGTTTTTGAGATTACTATTTTTTAAAGTCTTGGCAGGTGAGACCAAGTTCAGGTCATCATGCAGAACAGGTGCAGAACACCCCAAAGCACCTTACAAACCATAACAGACAAGAGGTCCTCAGGGTGTAATCAGATCACAAATGAATAGGCCCAGTATTCAGGTACCCACAGATGCTCCTGCTCTGACCGCAAAATCATCTCTTAGAAAAACTCCAGGGAGGTAAGAGAGCTGAATGGAGACTTCAGTCCCTCTGAAAATTGACTCAGCACCCTCTTTTCTTGTATTTGCCCACCTTTGGTAGGCTAACTGGGAGCCTTGCAGTTTGCATTTGGAACGCAATAGCCAGGATCTGTCAACTGAACTTGGAGGCTTTGGCAGACACAGTTTCAGCTGCAGGACTCCAGGACCAGAGCTCTGAGGGACAAAGTCTTAAGTGTATCTCTGAGCACTTCTCTTAGCAGCTTCCCTGCTTGGTGCATTTTCCTTCTCTAAGGAAACCTTCAAAAATTCCTCCTACAGGGAAAACCTTCAATACTTCAGGCTAATGGGGAGTGCTGAGGTCTTAAGATAGTTAAAGCAAGAATAGAAAACATCTCCCCTTTTTCATTCTGCCTTTCATCTGCTTTCTCATTCTCTTGCTTTCCCATCTCAACCACCCAGCATTCAAATACACTGCAGTTCTTCCACGTTATCCTTTTCTTCTGCACCAGCTGTCCAGCCATTTTGGAGAGTGTGGCCTTTGTGTCACCAAAGTACTTCCTAGAAGGAACATTACACTGCCAAGACGACCAAGGAGTGTTCCAGAAGAAATCCCCAAGGGCTGCCAAACTCTCAAGGTTTGGCACTTGGCCCTCAGCATGCGTAGTCTCTGATCCCCAGTTCTCTGTGTTAGCCTGGAAGCAGGAGAGTGGGTGCTGACAGTTTTTTCCTTGGCTTTGGGTGGGCCAGGGGCCTTTCAGCTGCACTTGCAAGATTTCACCACCATGTTGGAGAGCTGCTCCACTTTGGGGGTCCTCCCGACATAGTACAAGATAGTGAGTGGCTCCAGGTCCTGGGGAACACAGCAGGGCGAAGCAGATGCCTCAGGGTTCAGCGTATTATATAAACCCAGCACCTGCAGGAACAAAGTAAATGTCGTGACAAGGTCAGGAATACATTTAAGTTGGTTGAGGACAGGAAGGGGCTGCCAACTCAGCAAGTCTCTAGGTGTTTTCACCATACTCATCAGAGGGTATTTCCTTGATATGACTAATACTCCTACATGTCACTTCCTGATCATGGCCTGCCTCTAAAGAGTCTCACCTGCCCTGCTCTGACTCTTAAGAGTTTTTTGGGGTTTTTTTCCTAACTGTAATACCCTTGCTCTCTGTGACTGATGCCTAAGGGTTGAAGGAGTGCTAGTAGTTGTCTCCTTTCATCTCTAATTTGGTACAGCAGTGTGTCACAATTTTTGCTTTTAACAAGGTTGGGTGTAACCAGCCTGGGGCCATGCCATCTTGGATTCTATTAAAGAAACCAGAAGAAAGAATATCAGTGCTGCTTATTTCAACCAACATCTCCAGATAGCACTGGATGGTTGCCAGTCCTCTCAAGTATCCACAATTCCCTCCCAGTTTTGAACTGTCTGATGCCTTCTCCCTCCACTCCATCCTCCAAGTCATCACACTGTAATACTGGAGCCAGGACAGTGTCCTGTGGGACCCCACTGGATTCCTCCTCCCAGCTGGCCCCAGCCCACAGATGACTGTACACTACAGCCATGTAACCACTACAGAACAGTTGCCAGAGGTGACCACTTCTCAGCAGTGAGCATGATCTCACCTGCACTAGTGTGGTCTCTTCAGTGCTTATCTGGTATAAATGACAGAGTCTGGCACACTGTATTTTAACTACTTTACAGTCTTTGGGGATGAGAAGTGCTAAGGATACATCCTGTTCTATCATCCAGATCCATGTAATCACTGTTGTTGTGGTAGAAACTCTCTGGGATCCTAAGCAAATAGCTCTGGCTGTACCACAGGGTATCATGTGCTCTGGGCCACTACTCAACAGCAAGTTAAACAGACTGGTGAGTTTTCTTTTCATTTTGTCTTTCCTAAGTGGTGCTGGCAAGCTGTCAGCAGCTACGTTGTTCTGAACTTTTCTTTGATCACTTCACTGACCTTAATGCTTGCTCATTTCCTTTCTTGTTTAAGATCATTAGGAGTCATTCTAAAGTCTCCTTTCTCTCACACTGATTCAGTCCAGTTACCTTCTGGAGAGCTCCTCAGGACAACCAGATGGTAAAGCTACAAGCCCATTACCCTTTCAAAGCTGTTAATTCCCTTGCTTTGTCTTGTGGTTACTGCCCAGCATCTGTTCACTTCTTCATTCCCACAGATCAGCTGTTCCCACTGATATTAGTCCTTGAGCTTCACTGAACCTTACTGCTATGCAGACTGTCAAGAAAATGTTAGCATCTTTTCTGAAATACCATCCTTACATAGTTATTTGTTCTTCAGCTGAATCTGCTTTTTCCAGTAACTTTTTTAGTGAAATCTGAAGTTAATTTGCCAATAAGCTGTTGCATTATCTGGATTGCTGCCTTTTGACTTTTGTAGGCAGAAACACAGGATTTTCCTCTGACTTTTCCTGCTTCAGCAGTGGACTCTCTGATCCTTAATCTGTGTTTTTCTCTTTATACTTCTCCCGTGCCTGTATTATTCTGTTACTTTTATTTTTTTTCTGCTCTAGCCAGGCTCAGACTTCATTCTTCCCAAAGGCTGACCAGAGGTTGTGCCTAAGTTACCAAAAGATTTCTGCCAAGTTTTTACTAAAAAATCTCACTGCCTAGTAGCTTCCTCTCTGCTGTAGGTCAGGCAGGATTTATGCAGCTGGAAAGAATACCTGTGAAAAAGGAGATTTTACTCAGTGGCCGTGTTCGCTTCTGGAAATGGACATGGATTTCCCTACACTTTTGAGCTATAGCTGCCCCTTTAGAAGCAGATGGAGGCACATGCCATTGCACAACAATTTTTCATGACAACCTGGCACAGAGTGTAGAAAAATCCTCTGTCCAGTGCAGACTGCAGGAGAAATTTAGGGAGAATATAATTACCAGAACTGATGTTTGATGTGAACAATTCAGTTAATACTATGGCCACTGCCAAGTAACTGCCCTAAAATCATCAGTCCTGCTGTTTCACATCTTTTCCAAGAGACAACAGTTCTTTCTCCTCAAGATTTGCCTGAAAGCAGACTCAGTACTGACTCCAAAGCAAGCACATTTTCTCTGCTGAACCATCTAGGCTTTTTTCTGCAGTTTCCTTGAATGTTTTTCACAGATCTTGATCTGAACTGCTTATGCTGCTTTGAAGAGACTGGATATTGATCAGACGTAAGGAGGAAGGGGCAATCACGGGCTCTGGCAGGATAATGTACTGGACGTACCGTGCTGTGAGTGGTGTCTGCGCTGCGAAGGTACGGACAAGGGCCTGAACAAAAGTTCGCAAAGTAGCCCTTAGGCTCATGGACCCATTTCCAGCCAAGGTCCTGTCGGAAGTCAATGTACAGAGGACGCACACAGCAGTTCTCCTCCAGGTTCCTGAAACACAGTAGTTAAACACAGTGAATCTAAAAGGGGGCCTTACATGCAGTTGCGAGATGCGGCTTCCTGAGCAGGAGGACAGGTACCAGCAGTGCTGGTGGGACGTGGTGGCTGCGTGTGCCAAGCGCCTGGAGCAGCACAGCCAGGCAGCAGTGGCAGCTCAGCAGCCGGGCACGGCTCGTGCTGCTGGCAAGTGGCTTTCCCAGCGCCCCTGGAGTCAGACTGGCACGGGGCTGCTGCAGGGCCCCGCCCAGCCTGTGTTCCTGGAAGGTGCTTGCGGGTCTCTGGAACCAGTGGCTCTGCCAGAAGCACACAGCATCTGCTGGACTGGCCAGTGGCCCATCTGACACCACGGTGACCCCCGTGGAGGGCTCTGCCTTTTCCGGTGGCATGGGAGTCTTGCCAGGCCTGCCCACCTCAGGCGTAGGATCTGAGCAGGCTTTGCACTTACCGGAAACAGTAGTTGGTATCCAGGGCCCGTTTCTTTCTTTGGCTTCCCAACACAGGGCTCTCCAGTCGATGTGGGGGTAACATCATCAAGATGAGGTGGGGATTATGCAAGTCCTTCTGCTTCTTCAGGCGTCCCAAGTCCCCACGGCCATAGTCATCCTCACTGTCAATGCCTTTGGAAAAAGAGGATCCACAAAGAAGAAATCAGCATGGAAACAGAGAATGCAACGAGACCTTTCAATTTAACACTCTCATGCTTGTTCTTGAACCAGGTTCATGTCTACTTATTTTTTCCCCTCACAGAGACCCCTTTATTTGTGGTGAATTTGACTGTTGCGGGCCTGAAATAGAGGCTTATGGGCCACCTGTTTTACCATTTGCAAACTGCTGGTGGGGCCATTAATCCATCCCACTCTCTCCTGGCTTGAGTCCCAGGATAGGCAGGAAGATGAATGGTTTAAAGAAGATGTCAGATAATTGGCACTCTGCAGAATAGCCTCAGAAATGGAGCCTGTGGGGCCAGTGGCTGCTGCCCAGGGCTGCAAGCCAGGAGGTTCCTAGTTCTTAGGCCAGCCAAGCCACTGACTCTCTGAGCCACCTCACACAGGATGCCTAACTTCCTTGTGTTTCAGTCACACTTAACTGGAAAGTAGAGCCTCTGTGGAAATCTGAGAAGGCATCAAGTTGAACTTCCCTGAGAGACACTGAAATATAAAATTACTCCTTTCTGCAGACACTCATGCAAACCCACCCAGCCTGCCCTTACTTCTTTTTGTAACCTATGAATATAGTGGATATATCCATATAAATGAACATACAACCCCAGATGTGTATGGTTTAAGACAAATGTTACACAGTGTAAAGTACTTGAATACACAAAGCAAGATCTTATTTTTTTCTTTATATGCTTGAGACTTTTCGTCCCCAACAGCCCCCCCTACCCAGCTCTTTTATCACCTTTGAACTTGATCTCCAGGACTTCATGCAAATTCTCCAAGATGTCCCCATTGGCCTGAAAAGTATGGCAAGGACAGTGTATGCTAATTTCCAGGCCAAGATTGGACTCTGCAAAAAAGATAACTCTGTGAGAAACAGTCTTTCTCAGCTGGGACAGCTCCTGGCATTAGGAAGTTTTACACAGCTGTGCTAACTCCTAGACAATGGAGTCTCAAAGTCAGGAGTGTTATCAGAGTTGAGGAACAGATGCTGCCTTGGGAAGAACAGGAAGAAAAATCCACTAGCTTCACCTTTGCCAAAAGCCTTGCTCTTGCTAAAGGGAACTTTCTGGAGAGGTAAGGGTGCTTCTTGTTACTTTTTTAGGCTATTCAGCATCCAAAAATATTTGTGAGCTTCAAGAAGCCTCCCTGGGAAAACAAGTATTTTGAATAGCTGGCTTTTGGTATCTTAAATCAGTTTTTGCCATCCTCAGTACCTATTATCTGGCTTCTGCTTAGTGTCTGAAGGAGAAATCTGAAAATAAGCAAGTTGGATATGGACAAGTAATTTTACTGGAAGCATTCTTTCAGCAGCTGCAACCTTCTGTTTTATTGAACTCCTAGCAGTCTAAGTCACACAGAGTTTCCAGAGGCAAATCTACTTTCATAATAACTTCCTGGACCAGTCATGCTGTGTGGGCCTGACTACAGGAACATAAGACTCTTATGAAAGCTCCTTTTTCATTTTGTACCATGAATTAAAACATCTGGCTTCCTGGGGCATTGACAAGGTGCCTAGCACCTTTTTTCCTCAGCACTATATATACACACTCTGTGATGTCTTGTCAGCTAGTGTGCCTGCACAGAGCTTGCTGCAGTTCCAGCTCTGAGCTTCAGCCATCAGGACACAAATTAGATTGCTTGAAATAGGAGGAGCCTGCAAGCTCACAGCTTAACCTTCCAGGGAGCAGCTGCTTGCCAGTACCTGCATTCCAGTCTTCAGTGGCACCTAGCTTCTATCTGTGAGGCCAATCCAGCTGTGAGTCACGATGCCTTATGCTCCAGCTGTGAATGGGGTCAGTGTTCTTGCTGGGAATTGCCCTGTAACTATCTGTTGGGCTGTCCAGCGGTGGCAGAGGTATGTTCTCTGCAGTGTTAAAGCCTCCAGCTGTCTAGGTGTGTCAGCCTCTGGTATTTCCTCACCTTTATACCTGAAAAGCTGTACACAGCTAAATAAACCAGGATCCTTGCTGTTTTTTCCCATATTATATTTGCCCTAATTCACATGAAAATTTAAGCAAAGCATTTGTCATTTTCTATGATCATTTAGACAAACACAGGGAGCTTGGTTGTAAAGAATTTCCTCCAAGGCATGAATCCTTGTTCTGACTAAGCCCACAGAGCTACATGCTGGGGCCTCCAGGAGAGAGCCAGGAATATGGCAAAGGTTACACATTAAGGAAGCTCTCTGGAGGAAAGCTTGTTCTCAGACTGAAACAACATGTCCTCTCTGTGAAGCAAGCTCCTGCAACAAGGGGAGCAGAAAGATACTTCTGTGAATATTGATCCCCGTTTCTATGGATCCCTCGACACACAGTCCAGCTAAGACCCCTACCTCTGTGCAGAAGCCACTCACGCACGGTCTCGGTGACATCGAAGGACAGCCACTCAGGGGAGCCCCGTGTCTGCACATTCCTGCCACTGAGGTACCGCTGCTTCGCTATGTGCTCATCTGGCCGAAGGATCTGTGTCAGAAGGAGTGGTAGAAAAAATCAGCCAATGCCATGCAGAAGGAGGGAATAGACTTTAGTCTTTTTTTCTCCCACAGCTTGCTAAAAACTAGTTTAGAAAGTTGGTCTTGGCAAGTGAGATGCCAGGAATACCTTGGGTCAGGTGAGGACATGCTTCACAACCAACTTGAACTCTAGATATCTACACAGTCCTTACTTCTGTGTCCTAAGCAGCCCACCTCCCTCAGTTCAGAATTGTTTAGGGACACACATATAGAGACAGAAGTACACAGCAATTCATTTATTGGATGGGTTTGTTTTTGTATACAGCCGTGGAATATGGATCTGGATTTCAGAGCAGAACTGCCAGTGGTAAATACAGCATCTGGCCACAAATCACCTGCCCAGGAAACCAATTTATTGAGTTCTCACTCAATTTTCAGGTGTCCTACACTCTTCAACTTTTCTCAAAACACACCAGGGCTGTTCAGGTTTGGAGACCTCTGCCTCTGCTCTGACATCTTTTTCTACTTCCAGACAAGCAACCACAGCACATTCAAGGTGTTCCTTCTTGCAGACCCCAGGTTGACTCCACAGACCACTCAACCTATGGAAAAGCTCTGAGAAGCTTGATCCGGTGGAGAATTGCTCTGACCATTGATGCTGGATTTCAGGAAGTCCTCAAGAAGTACTATCCAAAGACAGTTTTAACTGCACTCTTATGGAAAAGTAGACAGACATGAGCCTGTGGGAAATGTGCTGCCTTGATGCTAAACTGTATCATTAGGTGGTCCAGTTCAGCCTATTACCGCTTCCAAGCCTGAACCAGACCTTATTCTGTCAGTCCATAGGTTCAAAGAAAACTCCACATAAGTACCTGGATTAACAGGTGGCCTGAATTGTGCTTCTGGGGAGCTGTTGCTGAAGGGAACATTGAAAGTAAGCACTGTTTTTCTAGTAAATCATTGACAAGACAGAGAGCTCCATCCATTGAATTAGCACCAATTGTGCTGCAACTGTTAAATGAATAAGATTGCCAAGGGTCCTACAGGTGATGTGACAGAAGGATCAGAGCTCCTCCACTGATGAGGGGTTCCCCTTCCAAGTGAAAAAAGGGCAGCACCACATTGTAAAAGGAAAGGAAGGTGACTGTATCACTGTGTATGGTGGAAGAAACCTGGGTTACAGCATGCACTTTCTTCTCTCTTCTATGGCTCAGCACATACCAGCTGAGACAACCATTGAGGAGTCACACTATTCTGGGCACAGACACTGGGGAAGATGGTAAGAATACTCACCTGGAAGAGCTCAATGCGCTGCTCACTGCGTTTGGAACTTGGGTTGGGCACACGCAGCACCCGAAACTCAGCCCGGAATAGGTTGGTGCTGTTCTTCTCTGCTGACGACACATTAAAGCGGAACACATTGGAGGTGACACCTTTTGGACAAATGCCCAACTCATCTAGGAGAAAAAAAATACAGAAACACTGAGAACCACATCTCTGAAGGGCAGGATCTCAAATAAATATAGTCTGAGAAAGAGATTTCCAGTCATTCAAACATCTAGCCACCATGGCTACTTAGCTCAAGATAACACTGGATGAATTCGCTCAAATGTGGTCTATGTTGCAACATTTTGCAAACATTCCCACTACTGCCATCATTATTTCAGTGCCACAAGATGAAGAAACAGTAGAGATCAACCACAGTATGTTTATTATTACATCTTTTGACTGCTCATCAAATGTTGCTAATACTCATGAGTTGGGTGCATCCAAAATGACAACCCATGGGACAACCTCACTTGCAGTTACTGGGGCCTATTCCCAACAGCTAGGATGCTGTTATTCTGCTCATGATGGATGAAGCTACATACAAAGTGATCCCATTGCTCCTGAGTCTTAGTTTTACAAATCTTGACGTTTTCTCTGACAATGGAAGCCACCCAGTGTCAAAAAACACAAAGCATGATGTGTCAAAGAGTCTTCAGGGCAGTGATTATCCAATGTGTACTGAAAGAACTGGGGTTTAAAATTAGTTCTCACTCATGAACTGGAGAAGAAATTCATTAATAGTACTGGGCCTGTGGACATCACACACATGAGCGGGAAATAATACAGCAATTTTCTGTTTCCATGTGTATCTGCTGAACAGAAAACCCATTTCACAGATGCCTCAAAAGAGAGGAGGTAAAACCTTTAAGGTCGAAACCAGAGTCCTCAAGAGCAAGTAACACTCTCTTCAAAGGGACCATTTTGGTTTCATGGAAGTCTTTGTTGTTGCTATAATTTCTCTCCTATTGACCTTGTTAGCCTTCAAGGCTCTAGCATCATGAAAGCTTCCTGCAGACAAGATACACCAGCTCCTCCTCTATGTCCACATGCAAGTTTGTTTGCAGCCCTGCAGAGCCTCTCAGATGACCTCTGACTGTTGTCCAATGCAGCAGGAGGCTCTTCTATCTGCTAATATTTAAGTTGCTTCTAAACAAACTAACAGAAAGAAACAAAAACTATCACCTGTTCCCAGACATGGTTCCAGCCTAGACAAATAGGCTAGAAGCCCTAGTTGGAACAACCTTCAAGTTACATTCCCAAAGTCCTGCAGGCCCCTCTTTTGATCCCACCATCACTATCTCCCCTGAGAAACAGATGAAAACAGGATAGTGTGAAACAGCACCTGAGTGCAGAGGTTCACCTCCCATGCCAAATTCTGATTTCAGCAGCACTGATGTACACTCATATCAATGGAGACTAAGGTTTTCCTCTTGTTCTGCATAAAAATTCAGCAAGCAGGACCCTGCCAGTTTTCAAGGATGTGTTTTTAGGGTGCTGAAATTTTATGCAATAAGCTAACAATCAGATGCTGATATTGGGCTTTAATTGGAGGAGGTTTTGTCAGTAGTACTACTGAACTGAACAGCATTCCCATACAGGAAAGTCTCTAGCTGTTATTGAAGAGGTGGCTGTTCATGAATCCCAGGAGACCAGATCCCACTACAGGCATGACCTGGCCTACTCAGCCCAAAAACCCTGCAACACAAAGAATAACCCCAGCCACACACAAACACCTGCTTGAGGACTCCAGCCCTGTGACCAATTCAAGGTTTGATGCTGCAGAAAAGCCCAGCAAAAACCCAAGCTCTCATTAAGGGCCCAAAGACATCTTCCTAGCTGAAGTCTAACACTGATTACTGTTCTGTGTCCTAGACCTTGGCAAATACTGTGTTTCAATAGCCCCTGAAGCTGCTTTGCACATCTAGCCCTATTAATAGTGCTGTTAACAGCCTGCCCTTTCATTTCAGACCTGACTGCCTGGCTGTAAGGGGTGTCCCAATTATCATTAGAAATGCCTTTTTGCATCAGACCACTGGTCAGTCTAGCTCAGTATGTTTCCAACAGCAGTGCTTTATCTGACAATCTATTTAGAGGCTGCAAATATGGTCCTACAGCACAGAACTGATGCGTGGCAAATAATGTGTTATCATCTCCTTAATGTTTTTGGCTAAATTAGATAGCCATGGTGATAAGACATTACATCTATTGTAATTCACCTGCTGTGAAAGAAAACAAGCCACATTGCTTTCTACCTACTTCACCATCAAGGTGCTGGTCTTGGGACACCTTCCCAGTGAAAACAGTAAAAAAACCCCAAAAAACCTCTCTTTTTCCTTCCCTAAAAGTGTCACATTCCCTTTGTATCCTGGGAACAAGCCCTCTGTGGTGCAGAAATGGAGCTATGTTCTGTGTTTCACTCTAAGCCCTGGAAGGCTAGAGCCTGTTTCTCATAGCATGGGGTTCAGGATAGAGGTCTCACTCCCAGAAAACTTGACAGCTTTGGGGCAAAGTCCTTTTTTTGCACGAGGTCACAGGCAAAGAGAGCAAGAAGATTTTTCAGGGAATTTGGTCCAGACCCAGCTGAGGTGTGCTAAGCACACTGGAATCCAGACCTGTTCACCACCAGCACAGAACAAAGCCTGGAGGCAATATTCCTGCAAGCTCTCCCAGTCCACAACTCTCAGTGGCAGGAACCAAGCCTGGAGACCAGGAATCTGTGACACCCTGTGCCAGGCTATGTCTGGTATGACACAGCCTTGCACCTGGACCCAGCTATTACTGTGGAGTCGATGCCCAGGGCTGTTCACTGCACCAGTGATGAGACCAGTAGCCTCTTTGTGTGGGTAGAGACAGCAGGTTCTTTTGGGAGCTTCCACTTTCCTACCACTGCTGTAAGTGAGGTGCAGGCTCACCACATGCTGCTGGATCCAGCATAAACAGCTGTTGTTTCTGGCAAGCCCCAGGAAGGCTGATGGCTGTGCAGTTCAAATTTGTTGAGAAGGAAGGGTAGCCTGTTTGTGAGCAGGTATTGCCTCATACTGTATTATACCCCTGAATCACCAAGGTGTTTCATGCCAAAGCTGCATAACTTTAGAGAAAAAAGTTGATCCATCTGCAACTCTGCAGGTGGCAGGTTTGGAGGCAATAGATGCTTGGCCCTAGTGACCCATGACTTTAATTGCCTTGTCTCTCAAGCTGCCTTGGAAAATGGCATCTGTTTTTCCTTCAGGAAGGTAAGCAAAAAGCTTTTTGCAGGACTGTTGCAGATGCTTCCCAAGCTTGAACATAACCAAGTGAGGTCTGATCCACATGAGTTTTATGAGATCCCTGACGTGAATGGTTGGTCAAAAGTAATTTATTCTCTGAAAAAAAAAAACTTTTAATTCAGGCAATGTACCTGAGAGGCACAGGGAAAGAGACCATTCCATGAGTCACCAAGCAGCTCAGAAAAGGGATGGAGAACTTGGCTCTCCTGCCTGCTATTTTTGCTCCTCAGCTTTTCTCACTTTTGGGCTTTGCATCTTTGAAAAGTATGGGTTCTCTGAGCCAATATGACACTTGACTAATAGTCTGGAGCTAGAACAGTTTGTGTGAGTGCACACATTTCAGATTTGTCTGTGTCATCACTGCAGTTCCTTCAATGGAGTAGTCCTCCCCTGCCCCCCCTGCTCCCCCAGGAGACTGGCTTTGGCTCAGAACATGCTCTTAGATCACCACATGGCACAGTGACAGAGTCATGGGAAAGTTGAACAGCAGCCACTTCTGAAGATGTGGGGCCAAATTCAGCCATGGTGTAAGCAATGAAACTCCCCAGGTTTCAAAAAAAAAAAAAAAAAAAGAGTGTGTCTCTTGCCACCACAATATGTCTGGAGCTAGTCTCCCCTAGAGTGACCAAATTACAAAGTTCCCTCTTTCTCTGGGTGGTAGCATCTACACTACCCACTCCCAGAAATTTAGTCTCAGCACTACTTGGTCTTTTGAACCCACTGTCCCAGTATCCTATGGGGACATGGAACAGGATCATTAATTTCCTCAGGAATTTTCCCAAAGCCACAATCTCTACTCATCACTCCTTTTCATGCACTATTTCTTCATTCCACTTTCCTCTCAATTTTAGCCAAATCCACACCCCTAACTTTATTTGCCACTGTTGTGCTTTACGTTTTCCCCACTTCCTTCCCCCCCAAAAATGCTAGTGTATAGTGTGGCTGTACTATTTTGCAGACACATGTTTTTCCCATATGTTTATAGTTTCACAAGTGACATTTCAGTAAGTCAAAAATGCTGAAATACAGGTAACCTTTGCACTTTCTGTTCCTTGAATCTTGGGTGTCTCCTGAGCTAAGAGCTAATCATATAACCATATGGAATGCAGTCTGCTAGAGATTAAGTAAAATTTGTTACATTACCACATTGTAGCTTATTCCATCTCATCATATGTCAAGATTAACATAAACCTGGCAGAATTAACTGCATTCTGAGACTGCCTCCACCAAGTCACAGCTCCTCCCCAAAACACCTTGTCCCCAGGATGGCACAACTTCACAGGAGAACACCCTGGATAGTGGTATGACTACATCTTCCAATTCTAAGAATCCTAAACAAGCCAAAATGACTGCTTGTGCCTACATGTGCTCAGCATCTGCAATCTGCTTTGAGTTCATGTCTGCTCAGTCTCTGTCTTTTTGTCTGCTCAGCTTCTGCACCTGAATCTGTTTAGTGTCCACATCTGGGCCTGCTCATCATCTGCTCCACACCTGCTCAACATCTGTCATGTTTCCTCAATGCCTGTGTTCCCTTGGGGGTCCCTTTGGCATCACTGCTTTACACCTGCTCAGTATCCTTGTCTTCTCCTCACTCTCTGAACGCTCACACTATCTGAGTAACACCTTCATCAGTGTCCGCCAAGCAGCAGTCACTTTAGCAAGTATCTCTCCACCTTCTCTCCTGCCGCGCGGGTGCTGCACGGACCGGACAGTAGCCTGCATTTCTGCGGCAGGCGCTGGAGCTTCAGCAAGGAGGAGGCCGTCTACCTGCTGTCACCCAAACACCAGACCTGCGCCGTCTCCCACCCCGTGCGCAGCATTCAGCCCGCCACCCGCAGGGCTTCCCCTCCCTGTCCTGATGTCAAGGCTCTAGGCACGGGCTCTCCGCTGCCGGCCGGGGCCTGGGTCGATGCCGCTCCCGGACCCCGCCACCCACCGTCCCCACTGCCGGCCAAGCGCCGCGCCGTCCCGCCGCCGGTCCGAGCGCCCCCCGCCCCGCGGCTCCCGCTCACCTCCGTACCCGAGCGCAGCCGGGAGAAGACTCGCCCCCCGCCCGCCTCCGCCCCGCCGGGGAAGCGGCCCCTTCCGCGGGGGCCCGGCGCCCCTCGGCCCCAGCCGGCTGTCCCGCCCCCGCGCCCGGGATCCCGGGCAGTCTGCCCCGCGGGCGCGGCAGCTCGACCGGCACGGGGGGAGCCCCGCACTTACTGTGCTCAGGGAGGCCCTGGATCATGTCAAATTTATGAATCTCTTTGGCATAGTATTCGGACTCGGTGTTGTCCTGAGAGCAGCTCTCTTCCTTCTCCTCCTCCATCTCCTCCAGCAGCTCCCGAGTGCTGTTATAGAGGGCCAGGATCTGGTAGGGCACATGGGCCGGCCCCACGGTCTCCGGCGGGCTGGTGAGCCGCAGCTTGCTCAGGATCTGCCCTCGGATGGCCTCTACCCTCTTCTTCTTGATGTGATCCAGGTCCAAGGTGGTGCAGGACGACAGCGAGAGGCTCACGGTAGCGAAGCTCAGCAGGGAGAGCAGTACCAGCGCCCTTTGCACGTACATCTTCATGTGTGAGGGGGCGGCGGCGGGGGCCTCCGGGAGAGACCCCCGAGCGGCGGCGAGAGGGCGCGGGGGACCGGGCGGTTTGCTGGCGGCAGCCTCCTCAGAACCCGCAGGCTGAGGCTTGGCGAGGAGGTGCATGAACTCACTGCGCCGTGCGCGACTCAGGACTTCCAGGAAGAGCTGGCAGCGCTCCGCAAAGAGAAGCGGCAAGCGCCGTGCCTCGCCGCGCCGCGCTCCTTCCCCATGCGCCGCCCCGCGCCCCGCGGAGCAGGGGGCGCCCCGCCGCGCCGCGCCGCCGCACGTGTCAGCGGCCCGCGCCGCCCCGCCGCCGCGGGGGGAGCGCCGCGCCCGCCCCTCTCGCTGCACCATTCATGCCCCCGCCGGGCCCCGCGCCCTACATCGCCCGGTGCCCGGCCGTCGGCGCCCGGGAGCGCGGCACCGCGGCGCTTCTCGCCCAGCCGGGAGCGCTGCCACCGGGCCGTCCGCTGCGCCCGTGGGTTCCGTTGACCGCCGTGCCCTGGTCCGTACACCGACACCGCTCCGCACCGGCCCGCCCGCGCACACTGCCGCTCCCCCGGCCCCGACGCTGAAATTTTATACCTCCCTCCCATGACGTCCCCGGGACGGGGCTCGGGCGGGGGAGGGAGCTCCAAGCCCGGCCTTCGGCTGCGCCAGCCCCGCGCTAATGGCTCCAGCAGCCGCACAGCCCCCACCGCTCCCCCCCTCCGCAGCCCCCGCCGCCCCCCGCGCCCGCCCGGGGCCGCCTCGCCCCGCGCAGCCCGGGCCCCTCGGCGCGGGGCGGCCCCGCGCGCCCTCCGACGTGGCCGCCGCACCGCCCCGCCGGCGGCGCGCGGGCGCCCCCTGCTGGCGGCACTCGCGCGGCGGCGGGCGGGCCCTTCGCGGTGGTCCGGGCGGCGCGGGGAGGCCCCTCCCGCTTCCAGCTGCGAAATCGCATTAAAAGCCGCTAAAAATACCCCGAATACTTTCCTGATGTGGTTTCTTTCCGAGGGAGGGAGGGGCCGAGCGGCGGGGTTCGGCCGCCGCGCTGCGGGCGGGGGGCTGCGGCGGGACCCGCGGGCCGATGCACGGCGGCGGCAGGGTCAGGGCGATGCGCCTCGGCACCGAAGACAGGTGGCACCCGGAGCTCCGGGGTGCCCGGTCACGGCAGCCCTCGCTGCGGTGAAGGGGCTGCGTCGGGCATCCGCTGCCCTCGGAGGGGGCCACAGGCGGGAGACAAAGCACCGGCCGGGGATGGGGCTGTAATTCATAACCCGGGCCTAGCAGGGTGTCTCTCCCGGCCGTGCTCTCACTGCGGCCACTCGCAACACCGGCCTCCCGCCTCCGTGCCGCGGGCCGGGCCCGTGCCTGCTGCCCCGGAGACCCGAGAAGGGCTCCCGGTCCGTGGAGCGAGCGAGAGCTTTTCTCTTGGCGTCACCTGGACCCTGTCCCCAGCACGCAGTCCTTCTCCCCGAGCCAGCGGCTTTGTGCCTTCCCAACCCATGGCAGCCGCTCGCAGCCCTGGCAGCGCTGCCGAAGGAGCCAGCCAGCCCGCTGGGCTGGCGGTGCGTTCGAAAAGTGGGGCAGGGACAGCTCCTGCCATGCTGCGGGCAGAGTGGCATGTGGAAGCAAGTCCTGGATCTTTATGCTCTGGGAGAGGTGGGGCTCCGGGGCATGTGGCCCCTTGGAGCGGTGGTGTCCAGCAACAGCAGGCAGCAGTGCAGCTGGAGGCATCTGGAAACCCCGGCACGGCTGAAGGGAGCCTTCTCTTACCTGCATGTTCGGGGGCCTTCGGCTGGGAGAGCGCTGCGAGCTCACAGCACAGTGACTCACCCAAGACAGGGAGTGTGGAACAGGTTGATGGGAAATCCATGGGGCAGCTGGGGGTGCTAGATTCACTGTGAGCCATTTTGTGCAGCTCTGAGGAGATGTAAGGGTGAGCTGCTCTCTGTTTGCTTGTGCTTTGCTGGGGGAAAAGGAATTAAGAGTTCTCTGACGGGGTGACAAAATGTAACAAGATCTAGTAGCATCCAAGATGATGTCAGTCAAATTTTAACTTGAAGTTAGATGCAAATTCTGACTGTTGACATTAAGCATCCATGGGATATTATTATGTAGGTTGGGATGGATGTTTCTAGAGCTCCCCAGGTACTTCTGAAATGAATTTTGGATGCTTTTCCATACTGGGATATCCTCTACCTTGCTGCCAGGTTGGAGGTCACACTAAATGCAGTCAAACTGATTGCTTTGGACTCCAGTAATCCATTTGCTACAGTGCCGCATAGTGGCATAGTGACTTATTAGTCAAGATGGAGATAAGTACAGAAATTATAAGAAATTACGAGAGTTTCCCAGAGGCTGGTCTTGGGCCCAGGTTTTATTAATGATCTTGGCACGCCAAAATGGATGTGCTAATGAAATTGGCTGCTTATCCAAAACTGGAGGCATTGTCGGTATAGGGGAGGACTGGGATATCCTATAGGAGGGGGTAGGCAATTTTGAAGGCTAATACAGGAGAAATGGGATGAAATACAATAGTAAAAAATGCAAGGTTATGTTGCTAATGGCTGAGATCAGACTTTTCTTTTACAAGCTGACAGTGTGAACTTAGTGCTTGGAAATAATAGTGGAGAAGGATGTAGGGGTCCCTGCTGGTTCCAGTATTGGGCCACTCACTTTCTGTTCCAAGTGTTGCTCTGTGGGTTGAAAAGAGGTGGGGAAGCCCCGTGATCTGACATGCACTGGAAGCAATGCTGGAGGCTGTGAGCAACAGTCATTAACAGGTTGCACATCTTTTACATGCTGGAATCCAGCTAGGCTGAGGGAGAGCCTGACAGGGCTACTGAACATGTATCATAGGAAATATTTCACACTTGGCAACTCTGGCTGGGGTTTGACAGTCTGAGCTGGGGCTGACGTAACACAAATAGCATCTGTTCTCATGGCAATCAAGACAGGCAAATGCGTGGACCTTTGCTGCCTGTCAAAGCCCCTTCCACCTTCCAGAGAGAGGGATATCTTGTTTGAAACTTTGCAATTGTCAGGGGATTTTGTTCTGGAGCCTACAGAAATAAAAATATTTGCAGTTTTTTCCCTCCTCCAAAACCCCTTAGAGATGGGAAGGTGCATGGAGGAAAAAAAAACCTGCAGAAAAATTAAACTGAGATGCTTGGAGCTGCCAGCGTGGAGCAGGATATAGCAACAATCTTTGCTGAATGCTTCACTTCCCAGTGGAAGATTAATATTTTAATGAATTGGCCCATATCAAAATTGGGAGTCTGGCTGCCTGCCTGATGTGAAGATTCGGCGAGGAAGAAAGCACCCTGCTGTGTCACTTGTTGGTACTGGAATTGCCCTGTATCCCATAAATCCTACTACTGTCAAAGACCTGCTTCAGAAAACCTTTGGGCACTCTGAATAAGGTGGTCATTGTGCAACCACGTGGGCTTTCCACCATAGCTATAGCTTTAACTACATGTGTGTGCCCTTGCTTTAAAGGGGGTCTAGGATCAGAAGCATATGGGAGGCTCAAGTGTGATTGCCTTCCCAGAATTTCTCATGGATAGGAGTACCAGACACAAGCTCTATTCATATGTCTGCCAGTCAAGGAGAAATCAACAGCACTAGTGGGGAACTCTGTCAGTCCTACTCTGTGTGATCAGGTTTGTGCTGGAACCAGATGGAGAGAGTCCACGCTTAGATGTGAGAACTTGTCCGTGAAAGGAATGCTTGCGGAATTCTTACTTGTGTTCAGCTCAGAGGGGGTGGCAGCAGTGTGATTTACAGTGAGGGCAAAACCAAACAAGTAAGGCAGACTGAGAGCTGAGAATACACCTGAAACTGTACACTGGGAAAGAGAAACCCTGGCACCACAGACCTGAACTGGACAGGAAGAAAACACTGAAAATAGCTTTGGACAACCACAGCACACCAGACATTTGTTCTGCTACCTGGCTCCTTCTCAGTTGGTTAAGTGAACACAGTCTAGGTCCGGAGTCAAATGCTGCCTGTGGTGTCACCTGTAAGACAGAGGAGAATTAAACTGTTCAGAAAATGTAATCCAAACACTTAAGGCAGGCAAAATCCACTTTGGCCACAACATGAAATGATGAATGAAAACTCTTTTCCTCCTGTTGCCCTTCCCAAGCAGGCAAAACTTTGAGGGGTACGTGACAAACCCTATTCCAATAAGTGGAATCCAGAGGGATTAGAGGTAGAACAGATTTTAGGTTTCATTCTTTCTGCACATCTGCTCTTCCCTCTCCTTGAGAATCTCTGAAGTCCGGAGTCAAAATTCTGAGGCAAAGCTCAGCTGCCCAAGTCTTTACATGTTTTCTTTCCTGCACATGGACTTCACCCTCCCTCAACTGGCCTGAGACTTCTCTCCCTGGGGTAGGCAGCAAGCAGCACAGAGTGTGTCTTGGGGGAAAATGGGAAGTACAGGTGTACTGTCTGGGATGGAGACCCAGGGGAATTGTGAGGAGAAGCTTGGAGGGGAGGGCAGTTCCAAACAAGTGAATGCACTGGTCATGCTGCTTCATGATCTGTCTGTCCAGGATGGCACCCCTCTACCCTGGCTCTGGGAGGATGACCCTGCCAGCTGGCTGTGTGGGAGCATGTGGGAAGATGGATTGTAAGAGAACAGAGATGGTGCTGAAGGCAATCTCGCCCCTGAGGAATTACCGCTGTGCTAATTACCAAAGAGTAGGAACAGCCTGGCCCTTAATAGGTCACAGCTGTGTCCAGTAAGGATGGGTGTTATAAAAGAGTGGATTAGCTAGTCAAGAGAAGAGTTGCTGTTTGTTGGTGGTGCTGTGAGAAGCAAGGGTTAGGCAGTTGTGCAAGGGACACTAAGGGTTTGTATGTGCTGCTAGGGACAGGAAGGATTCAGCCAACCATGTGGAAGAAAGAGAAAAGGAGTGAGTGCTGTGAGGAGCTGCCCATGAGAACTCGCAGAGAGAAGGTATGGAAGTTTTACAGTAGGATGATAAACTGATGGTGACAGTCAGTTCCTATCCACTGTTGATTGGTGCCAAGCACGACACTGACAGGAGCACAGCTGCCAATGTACTCCTACCCAAAGATTCCTGCCCCAGGGATGCCTTCCTGTTTTAGCAGACATTGCTCTGGATGCTATTATGATCCTCTTGGGGTGCTCTTTTTCTGATCAAGAAGGTCAGCTGTAAGTGTATTGTAACCCCAGACCTATAGTCCCCTCTGTCTCCTGGCATCTGTGTAGCTGTGTTGTTGC